GAACACGGTGTACAGACAGATATAAAACGTGAAGGGAGGATGCCCAAACTCATACCACAGAATGGTTTGGGTTGGAAGGCACTTCAATCCCACCCCCTGCCATGGACAGGGACACCTTCCACTGTCCCAGGCTGCTTCATGCCCCATCCAGCCTGGCCTGGGACACTTCCAGGGATCCAGGGGCAGCCACAGCTTCTCTGGGAAACCTGTGCCACTGACTCACCTCATGGCAAAGAACTTCTTCCCAATACCCAATCTAAATCTTCCCTCCTCAGCACATCTTTCCTGCAGCAAAACAGGCCTTGATATTCAGATTCTTCACTACCCCTCCTGTTCACTGATTCCCTGCCTCCCCCAAATTGTGCCAACCCTAACTGATGACAAAGCTTTGCTGCAGACCAGCCTGGGGACCTGACCAAGCTAAAAGAACTTCTTCTCCTCCCTTTTGGCCAGCTTGTCAGTTATCTACATTATTTGCTCAACCACATCCACCGTGGCATTGCCTCATGAACAGTCCAGGGCCGAGGATGGAACTTTGCCCTTAAACATTCCTTTCACATCAACACCACTTCTCTCTCTTTCACCAATAAAACAGTAACTCAAGACTCAGAGGGAAGGCTGGACCGAACCAGTAAAAGAAGAAGAAGAAGAAGCATCAGCAATGTCTGTGTTATGCTGAATTAGCCTGAATTAGACACTCCCTTAGGGTAAGTAACTCCAGAGCCTGCCAAATTTTGCTTGACTGGAGAGGTACCTACAAATGCTACCCCCTCCACAGAATTTCAGGAGAGGCAACAAGGAGTGGGTGAAGTCCTGACTGAAAAAAGACTTTCTGTCCTTTGACAACTCTTCCCAAACCTCCATTAATTAGTTCTGCCCTACATTATCACAGAAAGGTTCTAGAGTCTCTGCAATTTCCCAAGGCAATAAACACTGGATGAGAGCAGAATAGTACCAAATGCACAGAGACCTGAAAACAAGAAAGCCAAGATCACTCTGAATCCTTGCCAAACACTATTTGAGGCATCTTTTAAACTGGTTTTGTTAACCACTTGCTGCCAAACAGGGAACTGAAACACTGTTTAATCTCCAACATATCTGAAATGCACTTGGAAGGAAAATAATACTTTAACAGATGCTATTTTGAAAGCCTAGAAAACAATCAGTAAGATAAAAAGAAGGAAGTTAAGAAGCAAGAATGGTGTACATGAAAGTGCTGTGGATTGTGATGAGAGAAAATCCTGCAGCAGACACAGAAAATTAAAACCAAACAATTATTGGCAAGGTGCCTTCTGTCCTATCCAGCTCAGCAAAACCATCAGAATTCATACAATGCTAACTACACAAGCTTTGGCATTGCAATCTCACACCATGACTGACACGTATGTTATTATTTACGTACAGTCTGTCAAGTAGCAAAGTGCTGTCAAACAGATAAAAAGCCCTATTGCAATAAATTTCAATTTTGTTTTCATACAAGAACAGGTCTTAAAAGGTGTATTCACCTCATTTTTAAGAGTCACAGAATTTAAACAATGTAGAGCATAAATTAGTTCTTTGCACCCAACACTCTCAGCAGCTCCAGGACTGAAGGAGTTTATCCTGCACAATCAGTGCTAACACAGGCAGAGCCTGGATGTGACAAACTCCCAGCCACTGACATTTCAGGTGTCACTTACAGTCACTGCATGTAAGCAGACAATCAGAGAATTAAAGAATCATGTGGGTTGTAAAAGACTCTGAAGATTATGGAGTCCAACCATTTCCCAGCACTTCCCAGGCCACCACTCACCCGAGCCCCCAAGTGCCACATCCACACAGCTCCTAATCCCTCCAGGGATGGGGACTCCACCACTGCCCTGGGCAGCTCTGACAGGGCTGGACAGCCCTTTCCATGGAGGAATTCTCCCTCACAATTCAAATTCCCAGTTACACGACAGACACACACCCCTTGCTATGTGTTTGTTTGCAGCACAAGTGACTCGAGCACTGCAGGGAGCCAAACACTCAATTACTGCACGAAGCAGAGCTGAGAACAGAGGCTGTGACTGACACTCTCTGACCCCCTCCTCACCTTCTGCACCCCTTCCCCATCCTGTGCTCCCCATTCCCACCTTCTGAACCCCATTTCCACCCCCTGACCACATTCCCACTTTCTGAACCCCATTTACACCCCCTGACCACATTCCCACTTTCTGAACCCCTTTTCCACCCCCTGACCACATTCCCACTTTCTGAAGCCCATTTCCACCCCCTGACCACATTCCCACCCTCTGAACCCCATTTCCACTCTGACACCATTCCCACTCTCTGAACCCCACTCCCATCCTCTCAGCGCCCTTCCCATTCTATGACAATCATTCCCACCCTCTGCACCTCATTCCCATCCTCTGACCCTACGCAGCCCGCGGTTTTCTGGAAGTTCCTAATTACTTCCAGCTATCTGGCCCTGCAGGCAGGGACGGGACCGCGGGGAGGGAAATCCCCGGGAGGCACGGGAACGGCTCTGGGGGGCTCTACTTTGTAATTCCTGATCTGCCCCGCGTTAGGGGCCCCTACAGCGTCCAAGCCGTGACCGCCCGCCCTCAGGGTCGCCCCGGAGCCCCTCAGGGAGTCGGGGATCCGCGGCGGGACGGGAGCCTCACCCCTCAGCAGCGCCATGACCACACCGCGCCCCGGCCGAGTGCCGCGCCCCCCCGCACATTCGCCACGCTGGGGGCGGAGGCGGCGGCCGGCAGGCAATTTCCTTAAATTACTTCCTATGCGTAATTTCAGCTTTTTTTAAAAAATTTATTTTAAATGTATGTGCATGTGTGTGTGTCTCCGTGTGTGTGTGCGTGTGTGTTTATTTGTTTTTAAATTTTGCTTCTGCTTGGTTCTATTTTTTCCCTTGCGGTTTTGGCGAATCGGCGGCAGGAGAAGCGGGAGCGGGCGGTGCTGCCTGTGGGCAGAGGCTGCCCCCGCCGCCCGCCTCACAGGTAATTACAGCGTGTTACAGTTAACTGCAGATAATCGCGGAATCGTTCCCACGTTGGAAAGAATCTCCCTGAGGTTCCTGAGGACCACTGAGTCCAGCCTGTCACCCAATCCCCACCTTGTCCCCAGCCAGAGCTCTGAGTGCCACGTCCAGGCCTTCCTCAGACACCTCCAGGGATGGGGATTCCAACACCTCCCTGGGCAGTTCCAAGGCCTGACCACCCTTTCCATGGGGAAATTCCTCCTGATGTCCACCCTGACCCTGCCCTGGCGCAGCTGAGATCTATAAACCTCCTCAAGGGGTTTTGGGTTCCCTGGACATGGATGGAGATGAGCAGGAGCTGCTTGCAGCCCATCAGTTTGACACGAGGAAGCCTTTGGATAGTCTCATTTTCCAGCACAGCCGACACTGAAAAACAAGGGGATAAAAGGGCTAAAAAGTCTGAAATCATATATTGGTTGGTCACTAGAGGGAAGAATTGATCCCTTTGTGGGGTGCATCATCTCCTATCAGTCTCAGTGATGCAACACCAAGAATGATGTGAGAACTGACAGCAGGACAGATCCATGGTTTACTCTGATAATATGAAATAGTTAAAAATAAACACAAATATCCTAGAATCCCGGGATGATTTGGATTGGAAGGAACATTAAACGTCATCCAGTGGCACCCCTGCCATGGGCAGGGACACCTTCCGCTGGGATGCAGGGGCAGCCCCAGCTGCTCTGGGCACCCTGTGCCAGGGCCTGCCCACCCTCCCAGCCAGGAATGTGGAACTCCAAGCTACACCACAAAACCCACCCTCCACACTAGTGATGGTTGAAATGCGCCTTGAAGTATGATTTATCTGTATAACTGACCCAGTGGAACCATCCCGACTGTCAAGCAGAAGACTGGAAAGCCAGTGAAAATATTTTGTGTACAAATAAAAATTGCCATATGTCTTCAGGGACATATTTAAAGTTCTTTAAATTTTCTAGAAGTAAAAAATGTTATCCTGTGAAGACTCCCATTTGTCATTTAAAATAATCTCTCAACTACTTTCCCTACATAATTCCAATGATTCAATAAATCTGTAGATCAGTGAACATGCAAGGTTGTCTTTATGAAGAGGTGAGGGTTTTGCTGTATTTTCTCCCTTTGCCATTGACTTCCCTCATCTAGATCTTATTTAAGGCCAAGGGAAGGGATTGTGCCCCTGTGCCCCTGTGCTCAGGTGAGACCCCACCTGCAGAGCTGCCCCAGCCCTGGGCAACACCAGCACAAGGACGTGGAGCTGCTGGAGCCGGCCCAGAGGAGGCCCCGCAGCTGCTGCCAGGGCTGGAGCCCCTGTGCTCTGGAGGCAGCCTGGGAGAGCTGGGGCTGCTCCCCTGCACAAGTATTCAGGCTCCAGGGAGAGCTGAGAGCCCCTGGCAGGGCCTAAAGGGGCTCCAGGAGAGCTGCCCAGGGACTGGGGACAAGGCCTGCAGGGCCAGCACCCAGGCAATGGCTTGCCAGTGCCAGAGGGCAGGCCCAGCTGGGATATTGGCAAGGAATTGCTGGCTGGGAGGGTGGGCAGGCCCTGGCACAGGGTGCCCAGAGCAGCTGGGGCTGCCCCTGCATCCCTGCAGTGGCCAAGGCCAGGCTGGACAGGGCTTGGAACAGCCTGGGACACTGGAAGGTGTCCCTGATGGACAGGGGTGGGACTGGGTGAGCTTTAAGGTCCCTTCCAGCCCAAACCATTCTGGGTTTCTGTGATTTATGCACATGCACAAAGGGTGGCATTTCCTCCTTTTCTCCGCTCATTTACAATGGTTCTCAAGGTCGTAACATTCCACATGAAATTCCACAGCTGCCAATATTTCATCGTCTCTGTTAGAGATATTAGAAATAGATGTTATAACTTCTAAACCTACCAGTGTTATAAGTAAAAGTGATTCTCCTTATTTCTGTTTATAAACTACTCAGAAATGTTCCTGTTGGATTGAAGTATGTATTGAAAGGGTTTATTTTTTGCATTCCCATTTTTGACCAACAGCCACAATTTCTTCAAAAGTGTTTATTTCACAAATTTTTTTATCCCCAGCTGAATATTACAGTGACTATTACAAGCATTTTCTTATAAACAAAGGTGTAGTTTACAGATTTGTTCAAAATGGAAAAATATTTTATAAGCAGTAGTATTTCATCTACAGTATTCACTCATGTATATCATTCAACTTTGACAGCAGCTATACCTCCTGCTCATTAAGGTAATGACACTTCACACCACAAAAAAAAATAAAAATATCCCCAAAGATTTCAATATAGTAGCACTTTTTTAGCATATTTTTTTTTTCTTCTAATTTCAAATTAATCTGAAAGTCTTTGTCCACTTGCATTCACACCTTGAAATAATTTGGATCCTCATCAGGGTTATGTCTTCTGGATTGTTTTACTTAACATCTACCTTGAGAGAATTTCTTTCAGAAAAAAAAAAGTATCCATTTATGACTGTAATATATATGTGAATCAATAAAGTTTGAGGAAAAAGCTTCACTGAAGTTCATACAATTCATTTTAATTAGGTTCTATTTATCTGCAATAATAAAATGCTAATTTTTCAGTTAATGGTCTGAAAGAGTAAGTTTGCACAATTTTATTCATTTACTATTAAAAACGGAGAAAAACAACCATTGTTTTCAAGTGCAGCTTTTTCATTTGTACTTTTTGCAAATCACACAAATGAGGAGACATGTCCTGCAAAGACTTCAGTGTTCAAGTTGCAGGGTGATAAAAAGCAGCCACATATATGCTTATAACATGCCCACATTTTGGTACTTTTTCACAAGCACGAAGAAATTCTTGTCAATCCAGTGGAATAAACTGCATGAGCAAAAAAATGTTTGTAATGTAGGATTGCAAAAATTCAGTCTTGAGGTCTAATGTTCTTTTTCTACAGTCAACTACAGCAGCTTTATCAGGTAACATAAACAACCTCAGCTACAAAATGCCAATCAAAAAAAAAAAAAAAAAAAAAAAAAAAAAAAGAGGAAGAAGTAAAGGAACTTTCTGGTGAAAATGAAACGTGTACATTGTCCTGGATGCTTCTTGTAGGTCAGCCAGCATATGCCTGAACTCATGTTTCAAGTGTTGGTTCTGTAATGCTGATGATTTGGGCATTTTGATGGTTTAACTTAATTTATTTTATTCCCAATAGTGCTTTTCTGAGCTATAAGCCATCATTATTTGCAGGAATCACCGTGGGTCACTATTGTTTTGTTTGTTTTTTTCCCCAAGAACTTCAAAGTATTTTTGCAGACCTCCTCAATGTAAGATTTTATAAGTAGGCTTTTATATCCATAGACAACTTTTTCTATGACAGAATAATAAAAATATTTCACTGTTTTAATGCTTATTTCAGAGAAACAGTGGTTGAGCTAAACAGCTAAAGGCACAGAGTAGGAAAATGCTAAACTTAATAATCAATATCTAAAAATAAAGACAGATCTGGAGAAGAACCAGCTTTCTCTAAGCCATGCTTTATGTTCATTTTGCTTTTTAAATAAAGAAGTGTAAATGTAAGGAAAGAAGGCATGCTTGAGCATAGCAATTTACTAAATAAGCATTTAAATACAAATTTTAAAAACTGCTAACAGAAAAGGTAATATATATTAAAAGATATTTCATACAGAGTTCTCTTTCAGATGGATCTCACTGGATGAACTACATGATCACAGATCAAGACATTAAATCCCAGTTCCCATCTACACATACTAAGAGTTTTTAAGAAAGAGCATATAAATTACGATCCTGAAAGTGCCAGTGAAGGACCATTATCCCCTAGAAGACCATTAAGCACATTTTACAATGGTAATCAGCAACCAAGTCACTGAAGAAGAGGATTCTGCAGCAACCTGTCACTTAGTCTGAGTGATAAGCATATGTTTAATCAATGCATTGGGAATTGTACTCCAAATAATTTACATCAGAAAGAGGTAGAGACCTGAACTGCCTGAAACTGCTGACCTAACATGAATCCTGAGCAACAGCTCTCTGTTTAAACCACCTTACAGAAAGGCTGAATCCTGCTTTGAATTATTTATTCTCAAACCATGGCGAGTGTTGGAGCGTGGAGAGAAGGGAGAGACAACAACTAAAAAAAGTCAGAGCACTGCAAAGACATTCATTGTAAAAAGAGGTAGGTGAAAATAAATAAAGATATTGCAGGTGAGCAGGTGGCAGGGCTTGCTGGGCATGGACAGCGGACTGGTGGCATTACCCTCATTGTATAGCAAGGGGAGATGAAGGCACTACTGAAGACAAGGCAGAGGTGAGAGCTGAAGAACTGTAGTTTGGAGCTAGTCCTGGCTCTATACAAGCAAAACAGCTATCATTAGATGGATGGGTTATGGTTAAGGGGAAAAAAATTAATTTTTAGCCTGAAGTCTCTCCTTCAGTGGTAACAGTTGTTCTAAACTATAGTCTCAGTTTGAAAGAAGGTATTTACCCACTGGCATTAACTGATATAATTCTGCACAGAACTCAACAGTTTTTTTTTTAAAATGTGCTTTTTCAGATAGTAATATACATATATGGTACATACAGGACTACTGCAGTTAGTATATACACCAATTATATACATGATGTCTAAATCACAACATGCTCCTTGCCTAGAAAGGAAACTGCAGCAGACAGAAATTAGTGTATCTTCAAGAAACTTCACATTCTACTTTCAACCTCTGAGCCGACAGCCTACCTGGTCATAAATTTGCTGTTTGGATTTACACCAGCTAAAAAGAGTCAGATGGAGAGAATGGATTTTCTTTGAAAGCTCTTAGTCACGATGGAGCTGCGGACCACAGAAGGAACCACAAAAGCAGGTGAGTTAAGACTGATTTAAACAAGTCTTGTGGAAAGGGCAGAATGCTGGCAGCCACACATCCTGATTGCAGTTTGGCACGTCCTGCTATGGCAGAAGCATCCCCATGCTGAGCAGTCGTGGAGCAACACTGACCCTTGGGAACCCACCCCCTCCCCTGCTCAGCAGTCACCGAGAACGCAGCGTTCCAAAGAAAGGACCAAAGAAAAACCAGTGGCTGATCTCCTTCGACATCTCTGTGGTGAGGTCAGAGGGTTGGTTTGGTTTAGTCTGTTAAGCCTGATTAAAAAAAAAACAAACCAAAAAACTAATCTGAAATGAAAGCAATTATTCATTTAAGTTTGTTGTAGACAAAGAGTTTGGGTTCGCTCTTAAAGAAATGGCTTACATTATTTTAACTTACACTACTAATGGCTTATATCACTAACATACCACCTGACATTTTCTTTTCTTTTTGGTGTTAGAACATTTCATCTCTTTTAGAACATTTTTAGTTTTTAAAATATTCTTCATTTATCCAAGCTCTGTATTTCTGAACTGAATGGAGTTTTTCCATGGACAGCTACAGCTAGGATCAACCCACTGAACATAGGTAGGGCTGGATGATTAAACTTAGCAGGATCCTTAGCAGGACCTATGCATGGGATTCTGAAAATGGCCAGTTGAGAGGTCCAAGAACCATGACAGCCACCAGATGAAAGTGTTTGACACTTGAAAGCACAAGGAAAGCCAACAGTAGGGATCAGAGTGATGCTACAGTAGAAGCAGAAGGCTTAAGGCAGTCCTTTGCGTCATGATTATTTCACTAGGACAAAACCTTTGCTAAGGTAAATTTGGTAATGTAAGAAAGTCCAATGGAACAAAGTCCTGCCAATTTAGTTAAATTTCCACAAAGCAGATGCACTGAATGTACTTAGGAGGAGCAACAGCATTTCTCAAACATACAAGTTGTGAGAAATTCCCCACCAGTGGGAACAAGAAGCATCCCAGCCCTGATACATTTATGGTGTGATAAATATATACCTTCTGAAATTTACCTTTCCAATTCACTATTGTGAATGTAGTTACTAACAAGACCTGACGGGAGAACTGCATTTTCTGTTATTCACACACACAAGACCACCTGCTACTGACAAATGACACATCCTTCAAGGCAGCACAGGTGTCTCAGATTCTGTTTTTGTCATTGACACCTAAGAAGATAAAAATAAGCTGTCTCCCACTTCCATCCTTTTTCTTAGTGACTTTTGGAGATGATTATGGACTTTGAACTATGTCAACATAAAATCAAGCAGTAAAAAATAAATCTATTTTCAAGTATCCTTATTTCTGAGCTGCAAATTACCAAAAGAAAATCACATACAGACCAGTGTCTTTTTTAGTGTACACTTTAGCTTCCATTTGTTACTGTGTACTGGTTCTTCTATAAGCCTGTTTGGTCCATATTTAAAGAGCTCTTGAAATCTTTTTATTATTTTTTCTTTCATTGCTGGAAGTCTCTGGGTGTGAGAGTTGAGCTTAATTCTACTTTCTTCAGACTTTATTGAGAAAATCCAAGTTGAGGGAAGCAGGGAGATGAATGGAGTCCATGGTGATGGCAGATGGGTTGAATGGGAACAGAACTGGGAACATGTGCTTGAAGTCTAACAGCAGATGTGGAGGGTCATTTCGTTCTTGCAACTGCTTCTGTTGGGTGTGGGAGAAGAAAACAAATTTAGCATCAGTTGTTCCCTTTTCTTGTTGTGCTTAACACCATCAAAGGTTTGAGAATGTGCATCATTTTATAGATACTGCAGAAAACAGTGAGAACTATTTTGTTCTCTTCTGCAGCCACTTTCCTTCTGAGCAAGTATTTACAGGAACAGACTGTAGGAAAGACGGCTTCAGGAGACCCTGGTTACATTTTCTAGACGACCACAAAGAAAGATACAGGACCTGGAACAAGATGACTCCTCTGGCACAGCAAAACCAGGACTACATGATAGCAGCAGACCACCTTTGATTCAGCTGCTCAACCATGGTGATATGTTCTGGGGGTAGCTGAACACGTGCCCTTCCTTTTCCTCCCTATTCCTTGTGAGCATTAAAAGGTGTTTGGTTTTCATTTGTTTATTTTTCCTTTAGCTGCCAATTTCTACCTCCTAGCTCAGAAGAAACTCCATTTCACCAACATTTTGTTGACTCCTGCAACCTTAATCCTTTGTTGTGTTGCTACTGAAGAGCTGACTGCTGGGGATTTGGTGTTTTTTACCCTCTGTGATTAACAGCCTGCTTATCCCTGCAACTGTGTGTTGTGTGTGTGCTCACACAGAGCACTGAATGCAGGACAGCCTGCAGGAGCATGGCTTTTATAAAATGCCCGAGTTAGCAGTGATTTAATACAGATGTAACTAGAACTACAGAGAAGTCATTTGTGCCTGCCTCCAATTGACAGCCCTTTAAATTTACCTGTATGTTTCGTATGAAAGCTACTGTCACACGTTCTTCAAACTCATTCACAGGAGTGTAGAGATTAAGTATCTTTACAATCTGTTGAAAACAAAACACAGTTACAGTCATGAGAAGCCAAACTTTTCCAGAACACAAAGCACTACCAGCAGTTTGTCATGATATGGCCACAAGAAGTCTGCCAAAACAAAAATCACTTCTTATGGGGACATTTGTTAGCTGGCAACTTGGACAACAGATTTATACAGGGACTCCACTTGGTTGGCAACATGGTGAGCTGGATGACTTCTGATGTCACCTCTACAATTCTTCTCTTGATGCTCCCTCACTCCTGCTCCTCCCCTCAGCTTTTCTCAAAAACTCATGTTCAGGACAGGGTGATGATGCAGATACATTAGAAAGGGTCTCCGAGAACCTCTGAAAATCAGCTCACACCTCTCACTTCTCCCATCCTACAATATTACCAAATTAAGGACAGGCAACCCAGCAGTAAAAAACCCAAAGTCCAAGATCATATCCAGCCAGCCTAGGTTGGCACTCCTCAACCTCCTGTCCCAAATGGGAATCCTAGGTGGGCATCCTGCAGACACAGCCAGTTTAAGACCTGGCGAAAGACAACAGGCAAGTCTAAAATTCCAAGAATCTGATTTACACAACAAACTCCTCAGGGATGGAGTGCTTTTCATCTTTGCACATTTCTGGGACTCCAGTGCCATCAGTGGCACTGTAAGAGAAGAGACCACCTCTGAGAGGGGCCAAGATGTAACATCAGCCCTGTAAAGCACAAACTGTTCCCACTGAAGGAACTGCACACTGAGGCTGGGCACTGAAGAGCTGGAAGCACAAGATCATCCTTTCCCAGTCCTTAATTACCCTGAGCTGTAACCCCCTGCCCTGCTCCCTACCTGCTGGGTCGTGAGTGACGTGCACAAGGAGCAGATGGCCTCGGCATCCTCTGAGGTTTTCTTTTTCAACTGCAGGAGCTGTGCTGCCTGAATCAAGGGCTCCAAAGTTTGCGCTGCTCCACTCTGCTGCAGATTCTTCCCACGCAGCCATTCCTCCAGCTGGCTTATGTTAAACCTGGATAAGCAAGGGAGAGAAGATGTGAGCTTAGAGATAAGAAGTAGCATCTTCAAAACTCCTCTTTGGGGCTCAAGTTATGTAGCAGTGCTGGTGTATGTGGGTTTTTGTGATGAATATTTGTGATAACATGTGGCAAGAGACAATCAGACAAAAGCTTAATACTCAACAACTCAGAGTAAAATTTATACTCTACTTTACAAATAGATGAACCATGTAACAGTCAAACAAGACAAGGGGGGTACTTTTCTACAGCATTCAGATTCCTTCAAATTTAAACAATTAAAATTAAGCTTTTAACCAGCTTTTTAAATGCTAACAAGATCCTGCAAGGCACCCAGACACCTTTGAGAACATCCACATAGAAAATGTTTTTGCTGTGCCCACTGTCCAGCTCAAGGGGAACACAGAAAGATCCACTGCGGGAAGGGGAGAGGGTAGCAAAAGGAAGATTTAACTAATTTGCACTGGGAAGTGCACTTTATTTTCCTATTTTCCACCAACTTAGAACATTAACAAAACTTCCCAAAGCAGGCACAGCCCTGCCCCAAGCCCTAGCCCCACCTCAGCTGCATGCCCGTGCTCCATGAGCAGACATCCTTCCTCAGCAGGAGGTTGTTCAGGGCGATGGCATTGATCATGTAGTAGAGCTGCTTGAACACCTGCTGGATGATCTCTGGGTCCAGGCCTTGGTCACACATGATGCTGTGGAATGTGTTCAACTGGCGAATCATTTCATCCAAGCTGTAGGAGTTGCCATCTTCTGCAGCATTGGAGGAGTATTTCCTGTAGCCCATTGGTTTGACACTGGAAAGCCCTTGGATACTCTCATTTTCCAACACAGCAGACACTGAAAAGAGGGGAGAAAATGGGATAAACAGCCTGCATCCATCTGTCATTAGAGAATGAAGATCTGATCCCTGCTTGGGCTGCAATGAACAGTCAGTCTCGGTGATGCAATGCCATGGATGCTGCAACAACTGAGAGCAGGACAGATCCATGAATGGCTGGTTTACTCTGATGACACAGAATAGTTAAAAAACACACAAATATCCTAGACTTATGCAAGAGTTTGGTTGGGAAGAGACCTTAAAAGCCATTTAGGTCCAACACCTCTGCCATGGGCAGGGACACCTCCCACTATCCCAGGTTGCTCCAAGCCCTGTCCAGCCTGGCCCGGGACACTTCCAGGAATGGGGCATTCATCAGATGAATCCTCAGGGATTTGGCTGAAGTGGTAACTCTTCTCATATTTTCTCTCACCCTTGAGAAACAAGGTCTTTATGAGTCTTTTTCCTCTTTTCAGTGCTCTCCTCCCTTATAATGTACATTTCCATCCATTAAAAGATTAACCACAAACCTGGCCTGGAGAGGAAAGCAGACCCACCAGCACAACCTCACCTCTTCCACTGCCTCCCCAACAGAAATGAAAGAGGTATCTTCTGGAGTGGAAGGAAAAACCCACATCCCTATTAGCCTCTATTATGGGAAGAGATAAAAACTCTCCTGGGTCATGCTGGCACTGTGCAAAGGTCTGAAAAACAGTCAGAGCAGATTATCTGGGCCAAAACCCACCCTGCTAAAGGGCAGCTGTGTGCTCACCGATCATGGGCTGCAGGATGCCCTCTGCAATGTTGATGAGCTGCTGGTAGATCTGGATGGAGAGCTGGCCCAGCACCTGGCGGTACTCGGTCAGGTCGAAGTTCTTCAGGCAGTGCTCATTCTGCTTCGCTGTGTTTTGGGTCATGAAACCCTGAACAGGAAATTAAAACACCCAGGCTCATTATCCCACCCACTGACCATCAAAATCACTGCATTAAAACCTTCTTGGACCTTTACAGTACAATATACCAAAATATGTTACCAAAGTACATTATAGAAAGGATAAAAACTCATAAATCACCTTTGATTTACCCAGGCATTGAAAATTCATACACATTCATAAATTATTACTAGAGGACTCCCTTTTGAAGAAGATCATTAAACTACCTGTTTTTCATTTTATCCATAGCAAGGATCAGCATGTTTGTATTAACTGCAACATACAGGATTAGCAAATGACATTTCACGCCCTCTGAAACAACTCTTTTAGCTATGTGCTTATTCCTTTGAGTTCCAACTGTTTATGGGAAACAAAATATTTTAAAATTAAGATTCTAGAAAATTGGGAAAAAAAATACAACTGCATGTTACATGCTTTGACAACATTTTAAATTGTTCTGAAATTCATAAACCTCCCAAAATAACTGAAATTGTTGCCTGCCTTTTGCTGATACAGCTGATCTCTGATCCTGCTGATTTGGCTGCTGTAAACCCTCAGTTCTGTGAGATGTTCTAATTAAGAGATTAACAGATCCTTTAATTGCCTGTTCATATGATCTTATTTGGTGTGAAAATGAGAACTATGAAACTGTTTTTCTGGTTGCTGACTAGAAAAATGCAAAAATATAACAAGTACCAATTTGAGTTGATTTCACAATTTCCCCATTTTCCTAAATAATTGAACAGCATCATGCTTTTCACATGACAGGACTGCATGTGGGTTGGGATTTTCTTTTAAACCTTTTCTCAAAAATAGGCTGGATTTAAAACTAAAGGTAACACTATCTTGCAAACTGCTCAGAAGTATTTCTTCCCTCTCTATTTTGCACCAAATTGCCAATGGAATTTGCAAACAGCTGGTTCATTTAACACAGGAAATCATAGCAAACAATGTAAAATTTAAGACTTGTGTTTTAATCCAGCTGGTTTTCAGGGGAGGATTTGCTTTAAATGCAGTATTATTATCCAGACAGAAGAGGGCAAACAAGAGCACAACTGCTAGTAAGTTTTCTCTAAAAAACTTTTAATTTAATTTTTAATTTTAAATCTTTGAAATCCAGTGCTGAGGTTTTACACACGAATCATTATCTTTTGAGTAACCCGAACAGTTAATTTTATGATTTTTTTTTTTCCTTACAGTTTGAATGCTCAATATATCTAACAAAAATCAAGACTAAAATAAAAAAAAAACAAAACAGTATTTGGGTCTGTTGTAAATTTTAATGTGCAGAGTACCTAGCTATAAGAAAGGCAGTGGGTAATGTTCTAGAACTGTGATAATCCCATTTTTCTAAAAGAATCAGCTTTAATAAAACTTATTCCAAGCTATGAAATATTGTTTAATGAAAAGCTGTAGGACCAACTAAAACCAGGAGAACAGCCTTCAAAATGTCCCACCAGAAAGAGCATAGAGAGGCTGGGAGAGCTGGGGCTGCTCCCCTGCACAAGTATTCAGGCTCCAGGGAGAGCTGAGAGCCCCTGGCAGGGCCTAAAGGGGCTCCAGGAGAGCTGCCCAGGGACTGGGGACAAGGCCTGCCAGGGCTTGGACCAGCCTGGGACACTGGAAGGTATCCCTGCCATAGCAAGGGGTTGGAATGAGACGTTCTTTAAGCTTCCTTTCTAACCCAAACCTTTCTGTGCTTTTAGGAGCTTTTCCAGGAAAAGCTAGCTGTGCTATATCCAGATTATAGCACAGCTGTGCTATATTCAGGTTAACCAAGGAGGGAAGTCTGAGTGGCACCATCTGACAGTCAGAGGGAAGCCCCTGGTGCCAGGACGATGCAGGACCCTCCCTGCAGGCATGCCACCCCCTCAGGCTGGGCTCTTACCTCTTCCCCACTGTACTGCTTCAGGCAGTGCAGGAGGCGACACGTGTTTGCCAGCCAGAACGACGTCATCTCAAAGTCATCATGGTGCTTCTGCAGAGACAAAGTGAAAACATGTGAGATCCCCCTCTCCCTTTCACTGGCGGTGATGGCATCACAAAACAAATTTGTTTTGAGTTTCCCCACTCAGAATCAGGCAGTTTTCCTTCTGCAGCTGGGCAATATTAGCTCTTCTACCCTGCAAACTTTTTTTTTTTTTCTTTTAAATCTCAAAATTCGAACTATTTCATTGCTAGGGACACAATTTTCCTTTTTCTTCTAAAATGGGAGGCTCTAAGAGTGATTTGGCTTGAAAATCACTGTGAGAGCTGAGTGTCACACACACTTGGACATGGCTATTACCACCTGACAGCCTCTCAACCCCAAGACAAGAGCAAATGAACACTTACCTTCAGCACTTTCTTAACACCATTGATGGTGGAGGTGAGCAAGGAGTGCACCTTCTGGTCATCATTGATGTAATCTGCATGTCTGATGCACATGTAGAGGATGTAAGCAGGAAGGCAGGGAACAGTAGCAGACACTGCCTGGGGCTTAAGATCTAGAGGATTTGACAATTAAAAAAAAAAAAATTCACAAAAGAAGCAAACTTACATTTCCCTGATTTGACAAGTGAAGCAGAGAACACCAGAGCTGGTGTGTAACCAGGCAAACCTGTCTCCCTTCAGCCCTGGGGAAAATGGTTCTGCATTTTTGACTCTGCAAATTTTGGCTCTGCAATTTGCATCCCCCTCTGCAGAGCAGAAACAGAGCCAGATGTTCAGCTGCAGGACAGAGGGACCTGCCCCAGACCCTCAGCACTAGGGCTTGGGAGGGCAGCCCTGCCTGCACTGAGGTTTGTGACACCCCCCTGCCATTTTTCCTTACGGATGCACAGCAGAGCCAGGGCTTCTTTAGCATGTAAAACCCTACCCCAGCAGCACACAAACCACCTTAAAACAGCTCCCTGAACCTTTCAGGAATACTTCCCACAATAAATCCTCTCTCTGAATTCATGACACATTCAATTGCTCTTTCCCTCAAGATAGGGAATCCTAATGGCAGCTGCAGGCATTTAGAGCCTCTAAAGAACAAGCTTGTCTGATTAGGAGAACTTCACTGCCCACAGCAATGGGCTAGCACTGCTCTATGAACACTTTTTGGATCCTCACAAGGCTCTGCTGGGGTTAGAGCTGTAGTAAATACCAACACCTAGCCAGGGAAATCTGACTTCTGAAACAGAAGCGAGTGAGGGGATGCTGCAGCAGCTCTGACCAGACTATGCAGTGCAGAAGAGCTCACAAGTTCATTACCTGTTGTCTGCTATTATCTCATAAACTGAACTACCTCTGTTCCACTGCTGTTGCAGATCCCAGGGGTCTATTCTTCTGCCACCCCCTCCCCATCTATCACATCGTATGAAGCTCAGCAGCTTACTGCCTGCTCTGAAAACTGTAGCCTTACTTTGTGTTTCCCATTTTTTGCTATCCCTAAGGGATTGTATCCATACTGGTCTATCGGCTTAGTGCAGCACTGCTTTACCTACCCAAACTACCATCACCACAAACACACAGCCCCAGAAGGGATTAATGGAGATGATCTCTTTGTCTACCTTAGTTTTTTAATCTCAAGTTTTTGAACTCCCCCAGGCACGAGAAGGAGCAGCCAGGCAGAGAAGCAGAGCAAGCTCCCCACCTGTAATGAGGTTTCGGATGAGGAGTGGCTCATCTTCTTTGTAATATTCCAGCATGCCCTGAAAATCCTTCTCCTTCCTCTGGACAGCAACCTGCATGTTCCGCTCGTGCGGCCTCCTCTCCACTGGCACCATTGTCTGGGATGCTGAGAAGAGGAAAAGATGATCAACACCTGGCTGGCACCTGGAAATCAACAGCTACTCAGGCCCTCCACTGGCCTTAGTGGAAAAGTCAAAAAGTTAGATATGAAATTCCCAATAATGTCATCAGCTTTGACAGGCTTATAAAAATATAAACAATCAGGTACTGGATCACCAGTCAGCAGAGTTCTGACTCTGAATGAAAGAAGTGCAATACTTGTACTTAAAAGAGGAAAAAATGAATTTTTTATTTTCCAAGAGACCACAGGCCAGAAGGAAGCAACCCTAGTGTATGATTTTCACAGAGCGGGGAAAAAAGCAGGCAGGCAATGCAAAATCCCAAAGCATGGCATTTTCTGTCTGCCTGCAAAGCTGCAAAGCACAGTGGAACACTGCTGAAGTATAATAAAGCAGTAGAGACCAGCATGCAAATACTGCAGCAAGCAGCATGCAAATCACACTGACAGGGAGCAGCTGGGAGAGCCGTGGAAACCCTCCAGTTATTCAGCTTAATTTCACTTAATGCCTGGTTTCCAGAAATTAACTCATGAGAATGGGGCTCTCTGATTAATCACAGCTTCTCTAGAGAACAGGAAGGGCTTTGTATACAACACAGATGTCGCATTTAAGGGGCTTTCTCATTAAACAGAACATACATACACATTTTGATACTAAAGGGTCATAATCCCCCCCCCTTCCAAATTGACAGATAAGAGCATTTTCTTGCTGGCCACTGGGCTCCTTTCTGTATCTCTGTCTGGGTCACTGCATTGACTGCAATGACAGCAAAAAAGTTTCCTTAAATATCCTCCAAACTCTGGTACAGGGTCAGTGTCAGCTCAATGCCTGCTGCTAGTTCAGTGCCAGAACAAGCAAAATCTTAATCTCATAGAAAAAAAAAGAATAAGAAAAAAAAAAGACAACCTGAAACCAAACCCTATGGCTCCCCAGGGCTGGCCAAAGGAGTAAAACCCAAGTGCAGTGCCCCCAAACCAGTATCTCCCAACACACAAGTCACCTTCAAAATCTTGGACCTTCTTCATGTAAATCTTCAGCTGCTTCTTCAGCTTCTTTTCATTCTTTTCCAACTTTTCCAGCAATTCTTTAAGATCCTAGAAGACAGAAGATACATTTAGAAGAACTCCCAACATTAAACCCAAGAACAACTTATTTGGGCTGTTATAGGCTGAAGTCTGGTCTGTGCATCACCAAGGCATGGTGTGAGCATCTCAGTGGAAAAGGAACACCACCCACAGCATTTAATCCTGGCTGTTAATCACATTTAAACAGTCTTATTTAGATACTGGAGCTGTTGAAAAAAGGCAACAACTCAAGAGGTGCCAACATTCCCTCCAGACCTTGCACACAGATACAGAAGGGGAGAGAGGGAAAATTTATGATCATTCAGGCCAACTTTTTGGAGTGGCAGCTGCCTTTCCACACTTCCAATAAAAGCAAGTGAGATGAAAGGCCTGTGCTGCCTCTGTGCCTAGCAGAGTAGAGGGGTCCCCAGTGATCTCATTTGGAAGGCAGTACCACAAAGAAGACAGGTTTAAAAAAGCATTTTTAAAAAATTAAAGCACCTATGTAGTCACAAAAGTCATACAGCCATGGGTCATCAGCTCAAGTCCAAGTATGAACACTCCTAAATGCACCAGTGAAATATGCTGATGGATTCTGCAGTGCTTAGGAGGGGTAAAAAAGATCTCAGTGCCCTTCCCTCCCTCTTATGCTTCCTATCTCCTTTCTCTCAAACTGTTTTTTTCCCTCTTTCTGTGTTTTCAGCACAGCCTCTTACCAGGTTTTCATTGGTCAGACGTGTAATTTCTTGCTGAAGTCCTAACTCCACCTGGACCTCTGGAGAGAGCTGCAGAGTCTGCAGGAATGCCTGCTGCTGCTTCTCCAGCTCCTCTTGCATTAAATCCACCTGGTTTCTCAGAGCTTCCATCTCCTCCTCATGCTCCCTTCTCTGATCCTGGAGCTGTGCTTCCAGCAGCCTGAGAACAGGACCACACTGATCAGTCTGTGATGTCAGCATGATGGTGGTAATCACCATCTGAGTTTAGATCCTTCAAAATTGGCCAACTTAGGAGATACTCTTAGTCAGCCTCCCTATAAAACTGACAAACAAGAAGCTGTTATTGCCACATTAGTCTGTAATTTGCTATACTGCAGATGAAATACTTTTGAAATGAAGAGATATTAAATCAAAAGCTGGGTTTTTTTTTTTAGACAAACCCCAAAGCACCCTTTTTTCTATAACTTCATTGAACATCCAGGTTCCTTTACTTGCAAAAACCAAATACATGGCAAGAAAGCAACACAGATTAACACCTGCAGGCTTTGTTTTCAAGAGCTCAGCTTGAAGGACATTTGTTCCTCTACTCCTTTCCTGTCAAACATAAATTCTCAGTCTTGAAAACTACCACTGGCTAAAAAGAATGCCTTTCTTAAATCCAGTGGAAGAATGATTGATCACTGAGATGTTAACTGCAGACGCCTGTGCTGATGGTGATAAACCTGGCAGGTGACAGGGTAATTGATTTTTTAAAGAGTGTTCCCTACCCCCTGCTACATGGAAATCTCCCTACAGCCCACCAGCTCTTGCCAGGAGACTGAAGTGACTCCAGAAGGTATGAGGACTCTGAGACAGGGCCACCAAGCCAGAAACTACAAAGTATAGTCCCAGGGTATACAGGACAATGGCAGCCAAGGGAAGGAATGACCCAAGGGGATAACCAAGTCCCTGCTGCAGCTCACGGATGGTCAGAGCCAGGGGTCACCTCACACCCAGCTCAGAGCCTTCTGACAATGGATGCAAACAGCAATCCTCAAAGATGAGGAGGGTTCTGCTGCTGACAGCTTCACACTGACCCAGGACATGCACAGACACAGAGCTGGGCCAGTGGGGAAAAAGCTGCAACCCTCTCTGGTCCACAGGGAAACTGATTGTGATCCACACCTGTGAACTGTTTCCCTACAGGAACAACTATGCACAGAATTTGTTGTTTTGGCATTTTTCTTTAATAATTTTAATAAAAGAGTGCATGCTTTCAGGGAAGATTTCTGGATGAAAAGTACTAATCATTTCCCCAGGTTGTTTTGTGTGGTTGTTGTTTTTGTTGCCTTTAGAAAATTTAACAACACAATTTCTACTCCCACCTTCTAGCACAAGACAGAAAAGCATGTTTTCCACCTATAGAAACACAGGCAATAATGCAGTCAGCCCCATAATCCTGTCAGGATTTATATTCTTAATAGGCTTGAAAAATACAGACCCACCATGAAATAAGTATTAAGTACTTAATTTTCATTTTATTTCTTCCTACTAGGATTAGTTTGGATAATCCATGAGATGCCCTCAGAAGAACATGCTCCTTCTATGAACCTGGGTTCCTACTTTCCTTGGAAAAAGACATGAAATAATCTGTTACCTCCTCCTGTTACTGCTTGGTTTCATTCTGATACCTCTAGATGTAACCACTTTAGACTACTCTCTACACAATATTTAAATTTTTCATCTCTTTAATGTCCTTAAAGCTTTAATAAAAACCATATATATTGGAGCCCCATAACCACCAAGCACAAGGGTGATGCAGGACAACAGTCCAGGAGGGATATTTGTATTTGCCCAGCAGAGCAGGACCTGAGGAGAGCTGTGGAATGATGGCACTCTGCATCCACCACGTGCTTTTCTCACCCACAGACAACACATGGATGGGAGCACAAAATCCCCAGGATCATGCAAAGGTGACAGCACTGGGATAGAAGGCCCTCCCCTTCCAACAGGTCAAGGACTGGGAGAAAACATTTCTGCAAAGTGCCACATTTTAGTGCAATTTGGGGAAAAAAAATAAAAATGTGAGGGGTATTTTGTCTTCTTGGAGATCCCAGCTTCCCAACCCCTTCATCACCCAATTTCCCATTAATGTCACATAATCCTTACTGGATCACAGCTCAGGCATTAGTAGCAACAGCCACCACCAGCAATGGCCAACTGGAACCATGACTCTCTGAAAATTACAGGAGGGTCTCACTTCCTGCAGTTTGGAAACCCTACCTCAAGAGAGGACAGTGGGCCCTGCCCAGGACCACAGGGCAACAGCAGAGCAAGAGAAAGAAACAAGAGGGCAAGGAGAAGGGAGAAGCAGCAGTGGGGAAAAAAAGAAAGTGTTTGACCTGGCAACTTGCTTTAAACCTTGATAAGCCAAGCCGAGCTCTCCGTCTTCATTGAGATACCCCCAGTCCTCAGTCTTGCTAGAAATAAAGGACAGAAAAAGGAAACAAGAGGACAGAGAAAGACAAAAGGTCAATTGAAAGAGAAGGGGAAAAGGTGCAGAACCCTTATTTACTTCATTCAGTATTATTTTTTAGACCACACTTTCATTGCACTCCATTTCTTTTTCCACCACAGGGAAGGAGAGCCCTGCCCTGGTTGTGCCCTGTATGACATTTTAAATTTTTTTTTCCCTCCATCTCTTTCCCACTGCAGCAACTCTGCTGGTCTAAAATAAATTCTACTCCTTCTACTTCAACCAAGGGTTTCCTCAGCATTTGAGACAAACACATCTTTCCTCAGAGTAACCTTTTGTCCAAATACCACATGTATCCACACAAGATCAATCTCCTCTGTATACATCCAGGCAGAATAATGGCCAGAAAAGTCTCATCTCACTTTAATACTTTTAGCAGATTGTTTTTTTTTTAGTCCCCTTTTAGCAGATTGTTTTGGGTTTTTTTTCAAGTTATATGAGGTAAGAAGCTGATTTATGTTCTTTAATGAGATGCTGAACACATTACAAATGAGTAATGTAAGCTGATCAACTTGACCAGAAACACTTGTAACATCAAGATTTTATATGGCTTTGATGTTAGTTAGAAAAGAGTGTTTGTTTTAAGCAATAACAATTTAAAAAGTAAGCAAGGAAAACATCAAACTTAATATATCATTATATTTAAAAAAAAACACAAACAACAAACCAAAACACAAAAAGCAGAAAGCCAACACACATTTTGAAAAGAGCTGTAGCAGATGCCATTCCCTGGCAAGGGCATCTCTGCATATTTCAGTGGAAAAGCACAACACACAAACACTCATGAGCAAATTTTCACAGGAGGAAAGTAGTGAGAACTGTGGTGTTACAGCACTGCTTTGAAAGGGCTCTGGAGGTGGCTCACCACCACAAACAGCTCGTGCATCCTTCCCATGCCCCTGCTCGAGAGCACAGCACTTCTCAAAACTAGCAAACATTTCAGGCACTGACATTTGCAAAGTTCATCTGTTAGAGCCACATGTATGAATTTAAATTAAAACCTTGCTGCTATCCCATGTGTAGCAGGTTTCCAAAAGGGTCTGCAGGCTGACAGATACAGGGTCTATACAAATACAGATTTATTGGTCTCATTTGCATGGATTTACTAACAAGTCTTTTTTTTTGGTTCATCTAATCTTAGGAGGACATGTCCTCAAGCACTGAAAACCAACAGAAAAAGCAAGGATACCCACTATTTATTGCACATCAGAAACCTGTGAAATCTCACATGATCCAGCAGCATTTTTAAGAGATAGCCTCCTTGGAAAAACAGCTTTTCTTCCTTTTTTAATCACAGGCATTGAAGTAAATGAGGAGAGCAGCTCAGGAAAATGTCATTATAAGAATAATACATAAAAATGCTGATTTAAGGTAAACTTGCACTAGGAAATAAACATTTAGTCCATCTCCATCAACACAGCACTGACTCAGAAATCACTATGCTCCCCCTTCTCCCAGAAGTTCATTCTGACCAAGACATAAAAAGGGGTCCTCTCAATGTAATTAGAGTAACTGGCAGCTGAAACATAATTTCATAAAATGCTGGGTAAATCCTATTCTCAAATAAGGCTGGAGAGAAGTTGAAAGGGCTGCTTCACAAAGCCATGTTTCTACTTTATCCTGATCTTGGAGGCACATGTCTGGGGAGTAGCTGGGATCTGCAGTCAGCAAACTGTTCTCATCAAAACAAAAAAATTCCTGCCCAAACACCTCCCTGCCCTGTGAAAGTAGCTTAAAGGAGGTGTGGGTACCCCAAACCTGGAGATGCTAATTTGAGTGTCTCCAGCAAATTATCCTCCCTTCATAAAGAAGGAGCATTTCACCTTCACCCACAGATATACCTTTTTAGTCAAAAGGAAAAAATAATGTGCATTACAGACTAGATCTGTGGCAGAGTGGGAAGATATCCACTGGAGAGGGGGAAGCAAAGATGTGATATGATCTCCACATGATGGTCTCCCAGCTGCAAAAGCATCCCTCATGTGAAGCCAGCGTCAGCTCTTCACTTTGCACATCTGCAGTGGCAGGTGGGATGTGCCCCTCAGGAAAAAAAAAATACCCATATACACAATAGAATTCACTTGGAAGCTATCGAGGAAGCTAATTTCAAAGACATAGCCTGGTTTACTTTGAGCTGCCAGGTTATTATCTCTTAACACCATCACTGGGTCTCAAACTGGCTCTGCGTTTCCACCAAGATCAAACAGGCTTGAAAGAATGAGCCCAAGAACTGAAACAGGGAACAAAAAGCCTACTAAGTTTTAGATTCATTTACTGAAGCAGAGAATGAGGTAGGAGCTAACTTGATGATTTTCCCCTTAGCAGCTGAAATCCAGCAGAAATTTTTTTTTAAAAAAAAAGGAAAAAAGAAAGAAAAAAGCTGAGTTTAATGCATTTATAAAGAAAAGGCTACTTTCAGTTCAGACTTGCCCTTGACCTGGAATCAAAGGGCTTTCCTCTGAAAGCTTTGTGGAGAGAGAATTGTAACATGGGCAGGGTTAGCAGCACCTGGCACAGTTCTTCCTGGTTTCCTCCTGCTGTATATAGAAGTGCTGCATTATATATAGACATGGAGAGAACAGAAGGTTGATCTCCCACCAAAATAAAGCCATGCTGTCCTCAGCCTAAATAGCTAAGACATGATGACCTGAAGCTAGGAGCAGCTCCTGGGTGGAGCAAGGTTTTACCACATCTGTCAGCCTGGGCTGGTGAAGAACCTCCACCTCGTCAAAGAGCACACCAGACTGGGAGGCAAAGAGCAGGTGACACCCCTGAAGGACTGGGCCATCCAGAGGGACCTGGACAAGCCCAAGCAGTGGCACAAGGCAACCTCATGAGGTTTAACAAGGCCAAGTGCTGGAGCTGCAGCTGGGTCAGGGCAGCCCCTGGGATCAATCCAGGCTGGGGATGAGCAGAGGCAGCAGCCCTGGGAGAAGGACCTGGGGGTGCTGAGGGGGAGAGCTGGACCTGCCCCAGCCCTGAACCCCCTGCCCTGGGCTGATTCCCCAGTGTGGGCAGCAGGGGAGGGGGGATTGTGCCCCTGTGCCCCTGTGCTCAGGTGAGACCCCACCTGCAGAGCTGCCCCAGCCCTGGGCAACACCAGCACAAGGACGTGGAGCTGCTGGAGCCAGCCCAGAGGAGGCCCCGCAGCTGCTGCCAGGGCTGGAGCCCCTGTGCTCTGGAGGCAGCCTGGGAGAGCTGGGGCTGCTCCCCTGCACAAGTATTCAGGCTCCAGGGAGAGCTGAGAGCCCCTGGCAGGGCCTAAAGGGGCTCCAGGAGAGCTGCCCAGGGACTGGGGACAAGGCCTGCAGGGCCAGCACCCAGGCAATGGCTTGCCAGTGCCAGAGGGCAGGCCCAGCTGGGATATTGGCAAGGAATTGCTGGCTGGGAGGGTGGGCAGGCCCTGGCACAGGGTGCCCAGAGCAGCTGGGGCTGCCCCTGCATCCCTGCAGTGGCCAAGGCCAGGCTGGACAGGGCTTGCAGCAGCCTGGGACACTGGAAGGTGGCCCTGCCCATGGCAGGGGTGGCACTGGGTGAGTTTTAAGGTCCCTTCCCACCCAAATCATCCTCTGATTCCATGATTCTAGAAAAACACCATAAAAATCATCACATCCAGCCATTTACAAAGCCCCTTGGCAAAGGGCCTTTTCAGTCCTGGAGAGATCAATCATTTTTGGTTTTTGGTTTGGGTTTTTTTTTGGTTTTTTTTTGTTTTTGTTGTTGTTTTTTGGGTTTTTTTTGCCTTTTCAGAATAAAAAACATCAGGTACAACTTAGGCAAAGGGAATGCATTTTACTAAGAAAATAGAAGACTAGAACACACATTTCAATAGAGTTACAATGTTATAAAGTAGGAAGAAACCCCAACCAGTCCACATTTTACACAGTTTTAGTTTCAGCTGAGCAATGACCCTCCCAGGCACAGCCAAGCCGGCACACACCAGCCTAGAACTGCTCTCACCAGCAGGCTTACATTGATTTGCTTAAGGTAGATATGTTTAAGACAGAAATAAATGCAGATTATTTTGCCGTTTTGTTGAGAAAGCAGCCATCTTCAGTCCCAAGGGTGTTTTTATTCCCGCTAGGAAGGATGCAGCGGAGGAAGGGATGAGTCAAAGTCAGCGGTTGGTGGAGAGCCGAGCTCAGTGCAGCGCTGGCCTCGTGTGCCCGGGGAACACGACGGCCCAGCAGCCCGAGCAGGACAAACGGTGACAGCAGCTCTTCCTCCAGCTGTGCTCCCCGAGCCAGCGCCATGCCCATGGAGAACACGGGCTCGGGCTGTGTTTTGCTATGGAACTGAGGATACTGACGCCGCACTGCTGCGCTCCTGGCAGCGGGCAGGGTGCCTCCAGCAGCGGCAGCTGAATGGCTTTGCTCGGATTCAGCTGCCAAGGCAGTGCAGTCAGAGCTTGGCTCTGCATTCAGAGCCTGGTTCTGCAGCCAGAGCTTGGCTCTGCGTTTCCTCTCTCCACCGAGAGCAGCCCTGCCCGCTGCCCACAGCTCTCACAGAACGGGCCAGCGGCGTGGGTCATCCTGAGGAATGCAGCGATGATGGCCTTTCTGAGCACGGGGAGCACTCAGGACGGAACAGCAGCCCCAACTGCTCCGGCACCGACGGGAGACAGCGGTGTGTGACCCGCAGAGGAGCTCGGCTCGGCAGCTCTGCCAAGGGAAAACAGCCGGGACTGCGCCGGGGTCAGCTGAACTAAAACCAGGGTTGGAGCTCTACGACAGTGATCCCCACTTTCCCACGGGAACAGTCACCACGCAGGGCTGCTAACGAGAAGCTAAAAGGTGCATCGTTCATCTTTGCAGGAACTACCGGAGGAGTGTGACAGAGTTACTTTATCCCCATGAAACAGCGTGCTGGAAACAACAGTACGAGAGGAAGACACGCACCGACCACAGGAAACCTGTTACACACCACTCTGCAGGGTAAGTGCCGCTCGGTTTGAAGCTTGGGGAACGAACACAAAGGGTCAGGATGCACCACTGTCCACAAACGCAGCTGAGAACTTGTGCCACGGGTCACACCGGGGGTTTAAAATACATCGGACACAGCACTTTAATCGTCGCCTTCCACATGCCATGTGGAGACCTGGGCAGAGGCTTCGGGAACACACAGACCTTTGCAACATCTCTGAACAAAAACACACGTGTTCTATAAAGAAAGGCTGTGCTTCGTTAGGTACTTTCACTGTCCCCTGAATGTTCCTACAGGTCGCTGCCAAGAGGCTCAGCCAGGCTGATTTTAAGGAAGCAAGGACTGGATAAATCCTGGAAGAGCCTGACCTCAGGGAAGCTCCTGATGCTCTCAGAAGGGTTCTGCGTGCCCCAGAGACATGGAAGACAGTCTTTTGTATCATTTGGAGGGCGAGTCACCGGGGCTGTGTGACAAGCTACAACACTGGTGGTCCTCTAGGTGATGTATTTTTTTAACTTACGCTATGTAACACGACAAAATGCATCCTGGTGACACCTGTTTCCCTTTGCATACTGTCTAAAGAGAATTTTCTGTACAGACAAAGATTGGTAAATATTTTGAATAAGCCAGCAAACAGAAAAAAAAAAAATCATGTTAAGAATAATATGGAAAAGGAAAACTGGTTCCTTAGTAGCCAGCAAGATTAGCAGTTGTAATTGGTTCAAGGATTAATTGTACCTGAAGAACAGCTGGGCATGAATCTGTTTATCTGAAAATTTGACGTATCAAAAAAAAAAGATATCCTGGAGGAGATGGCAGAGGGGGTGAAATGGAGTTAACCCTCTGTGAGCTGGCCTGCTGCCAACAGTGGAAGGGAAAATCCCACATTGCCACACTGCAGGGCAGGCACAGAGGCAGAGAAAGCCCAGGAGGGTGAGCACGGCCCGGGTGCCACAGGGGACAGAGCCAGCGGGGCTGCTCCTGACAGCGGGATTCCCAGGAAAATTACTGTGCAGCGACATTTGTGCTTGGGAAAGCCCCGCTGCCAGCCGGCTCTCAGCAATCCCTCCTGGCATCTGCTGGAAGACAGCTGGGAGGCTGTGCCAGAGACGAGATTGCTCACAGCACGCGTGGGGGCTCCCTTTGGGAACCCAAAAATCCCAAAGCAGGGCCCTGCTGCCCGCAGCCAGCGCGGCTTTCCCAAGGTCCTGCTTCTCCTGGGCGCTACCCCTGGCCACGGGTTACGGACAGCAGCGGCAAGCCTTGAAAATAAAATAAGCGGACTGAAGGAGCGGCTGTGGATCTGCGTTTCCCACAGGGACCGGTTCTCCTGCCTCTGGGACGTGAGATCAGTGCGTTTTGGGGTGGTTTTGTTACTGGTCTAACTGGGCAGGAGGGAGGAGGCGTGTGTTCCCGGTACTCTGGAACCCAGCGATGCACAACTCCACTGGCACAATACAACAGGCTTCAGACACAGCTGGGTTTTCAGAAGGCAAAAACAATCCATACGCTGAATAAATAATTAAATTATTTTTCAGTAGGACCACTAACTTAAATATGATAAAAACAAGGCATAGCAAAAATAGATGAAAAAAGCACTCTTTGTAGAAACATCCTCTGTGTGTGTGTGTGTGTTGGTGTCTTTTGTACATTTACTTGCAAGGGCAAGCTCCTGTCCACGTGCACCTCAGGACTCAGCAGTGAAGCACTTCCCACCACACAACACTTTACCACAGCTTCAACACCACAGGTTTTTCCCTGCACCACTCTTTTCTGTGTTTATATAATCAGTCTTCTTTCCCCACTTAGGGGGAAAGTTTACTGTTCTTTGTATCAATGTAATTTTACAGCCAGAGACTGGGCTGTAGGTGCCTAAGGGGGTTCTGAGACCATTTTCCCTGCTCTGTTCTGGCCTGTTCTGTGGAGACTGCATTTTCCTTCATAATTAAGGATACAAGAGCAGTGTTTGCCACGGCTAAATCCCGAGCAAGCTTTACTTTATCTCTTTGGATGATGTTTGCCAGCACAGCGCTGCTATCTCTCTATTTTATTTACTCCTGTCCTACCCCTGCCTTGCTGCAGCAAGCTGTGGAGCAGCAAGGATCCTGCTTTATTTTTTATTTTATTTTTATTTTTTTTAGCAGATTATTTCTGCTCCTGGCACATCACTGCTCTGGCTGCAGGGACCACACTCGGGGGAGTCACAGACCATGGCCCTCACTGGGTGTCCCTGCCTGTCCCTGGTCACTTCAGTCTCTCTGCCCCACAGCCAGGGGATCACACACTGTGGTTTCTGTAGCAAACATGCAGCACAACCCCTGGCAAGGGAAAACTCCGCTGGAGATTGCTGTTTTCACACAAGAGCTCTGACAAACTAGACCTGCGGGTGGAGTGAGGCGGAGCGATGGTAGGCATGGCGTTTTTGAGTCCAGTACTCACACTGCCACAGGAAACATTCAGTCAGGCTGGTGCAAACAGCTGCCTGACACCACTCGCAGCTTCATCTGCTGCCCACGGGGCGCTTGTTCCAAGTGAGTCCACTGTGGAGCTTTCGAGCCAGCAGTGCCATAGGACATCACACACGAGTCTTTTCGTGAGGCCCAGGGGGTGCAAGGGAGAAAACAACCTGGCTTAGACAAAACAGAATCTTGAAACAATTAAAAAATTAAATAAAAATCCTTTGGTACGTCATCTCGAGTCCATTGTGTAAAACTTCCTTGTAAAATCTCTAAGAGATTTCCATAAATTACTTCAGGTCCTACCTCTACCCGATAAAATTTACCCTGCGACAGCGCCGCTTTGTTTCTAAAATCTGTGAAGTGGTTGATATGATTTTCAGGCTTCCCAAGGACAATCTGGACTAGTTCACATTTTTCCTGAGAACAGCTTTCATTGAGTGATGAAAACAAAACTGCCAGCTTTGCTGCAGACTCCACACATGTACATCTGGCCGCCCCTCAAGGAAACAGCAGCCAGTGCCACAAGGATATCAGGACATGGGCATCTTCAAACATTAAACAAAACAGAAGGCCCATTAGACTCTTGAACTTGTCTTTAACTGCCCCTTTTCTCCTTTTTTTTTCTTTTTTTTTCTTTTTTTTTTTAAGAGAAGTGGTTTCCCTTGATGCCACAGGCTAATGCAGTGTGACAGCACTAGGACAATTAGAAGACTGATTATTAAAGGCAGAAATAAATCATTCTGGAGATCAGCAGTGATGAGAGAGCTACAGTTCATCACCAAATGCACGGAGTGAAAAGCATCATCAACGGAATTCTTCAGTGTGGTGCTGGCTCTGAGCTAGAAATGCAATGCCATCGTTTAAATTAATTTTGGAGGGCTCTCTCATCCCTGTGGCTGTCATCCACACCGTTCGTCAGGTACTTGGGAGAAACCAGATAAAAAACGGGGTGTGAGGAAGGGGGGAAAAACAAAACAAACCAAAAAAAAGGCAACGAAATGAGCGCAAATAAATTAGAGGAGCCCGAGACGGTGATTTTAGTTGTTGTGAGGAAGGGATCCCTGCAGAGTAGGCGGTGCTGCCTGAGGAGTGCGGCGCGTCAGTGCACCTTGGACTCGGGCCAGTCGTACACGTCCGGCATGAAGGACTCGTACTCGTAGGTCCAGACCTTGGAGCGGATGTAGCGGTCCTTGTCGGCGGGCTCGGGGTAGTGGAAGGCCATGTTGTTGGCGTACAGGAACTCCATCACCTGCGCGGGGCGAGAGCAGCGCCGCTCGGTGCCTGCTGCCCGCCCCGTGTGCCCCACACAGCCCTCTGAACCCCACTGCACACATCACAGGGGTTCTGTCCTGTGCCCCACACAGCCCCTCTGAACCCCACTGCACACATCACAGGGGTTCTGTCCTGTGCCCCACACAGCCCCCCTGAACCCCACTGCACACATCACAGGGGTTCTGTCCTGTGCCCCACACAGCCCCTCTGAACCCCACTGCACACATCACACTGGTTCTGTCCTGTGCCTGCTGCCTATGGATGCTAAATCTGAACCAGAGTGCCTGTAGTTATTACAGGCCACACAGCTCTCAGTCCTGCCTGAGAGCTAGCCTGAGAAATTCATGGGAGGATTTGAAAACAATCCTCAAAGACAGCCCTTGCAGGTGTTGTTGTCCGTCTCTTGTTTTCTTTGCAGGATAAAGTCAGGGGGAGCTGTACACCACTAACCAATGATGGTGATGTAGCGATTTACTAACCAATAAGAGTTTCCTTTCTGTACTTTCCACGTATCACTCTAAAAAGAGACCTGAAGCAATAAACTAGAAAAATTCTCCTGTTCTGACTCCATGGGAGTCTGTGTCATCTCCACCCAGCCAGTGCTAATAGAGCAACGCTGCTGCCCAGCCCACGCAGCCAGAGAAGGAGAGGTTTTTGTGGCTCTGTGCTTTATGAGCACCTCTTACTGCAGGCACAAAGCAGCGAGCGTTCTGTTCCCGAGCACCCGGCGCTCAAGGGTCGCTCTGTGCAATCCAGCAGGTTAATGCACACATAAACCACTTGTACCGCAGCGCAATTTTGTGTTCCGTACTCACCTTGACAGCAATATAAATAGAAACTTCCCTGATATTGGACAGCGGAGGATAAAGTCTTCCCTGTGCAAGCTCTTCATCTGTCAACTGCTCCGCCAAGGCCTGAGATAGAGAAACAAACATTTCTTATTAACTGAGCCCCAAATGTGACTAACAACATGCTAGAACAGCCGAGAGAATCGAGTTGTAGTGCTCCTAGCACCAGAGTGCCCCCAAAGCACAGAGGCAGTCAGGATCGCGACATTTTCAGTCTGAGGAACTGAGAATCAGCACACCCTGACTGATTTATTTTGCATTTAGCATTTAGCAAGATGGTATTTTGGGGGATGAATTCCCATATTTTGGGAGCTGAGTTCCCCTAGCCACAGTGCCAGCTGCAGAACCCAGGGCAGGGCAGGAGGCAGCCCTGCTGCCACAATCATTTACACAGGGACATGCTTCCCACTTCATTCAAACTCCAGCGGAACCCCATTCTGGGCACCCTTCTGGTTTTGTTTTCTCCCCACTGTGGAGGGATAAATAACAGGAAAACACTGTGTTTCACCAGGATGTGTCAGAATCCACAGCCTGCTCTGCTCCCAGACCCACCTTGGCAGCCTCTAGGAAAACCTTATCGCTGATGTGCCGGACGCTGCTGAGGATCACCGCCAGAGCCACGCCTGCAGGGAAACCACAGCGCTTCAGAGCCACAGCCTGCTGCCCAGGACCTGCCAGTCACTGCCAGCCCTGCCCTAATTTACCCTGAAAATCCTCCTGGAGCTCCCAGGGCAGCTCAGGGGCTGGAGCAGAGCTTGCAGTGCCCGTGGTTCCAGCCCCTGTCATGGGCCTTACCCCTGAAAATCCTCCTGGAGGTTCCAGGGCAGCTCAGGGGCTGGAGCAGAGCTTGCAGTGCCCATGGTTCCAGCCCCTGCCTGGGCAGGGACCCCTGAAAATCCTCCTGGAGGTTCCAGGGCAGCTCAGGGGCTGGAGCAGAGCTTGCAGTGCCCGTGGTTCCAGCCCCTGCCTGGGCACGGGGGCACCACTGGCCACAGCAGCTGGCTTTCAGAAGGGGCTGGAGCCTTGCAGAGAGGAAAGGGGAAGGCACAGAACATCCCCAGTGCTACTTTTCCACCCTCTTTGTGCAGACACAACTTTAAGAACTAACTCTGAGAATTATTAACACAACTTCAAGTGGATATCAACGTTTGTTTTCTCCTTTCCTCCTCAAACAAGGAGCAGAAGCCATAATGCAGCAGCTCCCAAAGCCTTTAATATAACAGCCTCCTGTTTTCTCAGCAGCTGGGTTTGCTCACTGTGTCTCCTGTGCCCCTCATCCAGCCTCAGCTGACTCATTTGGTCACACATTTTCCCAGATTTCCCAAATGCTGGCAACACCTCTGCTTCACTGGCTGTGCCTCATGCAGGAAGAGAACCCAGGAGAAGGCGGCTCAGTCTCGGAGATCAAACGGGGAAGGTTTAATTCATTACCTGGGAAAATGTAGGCGTTGTTTCCTTGGCCGGGCTTGAAGGTTCTTCCATCCTTGAGCGTCACCAGCTCGAAGGGACTGCCGCTGGCAAACAGGCAGCGGCCCTGGGGAGAGGAACCATGGCTCAGGCGGCTGTGCAGGGCCAGCAGCAGCCCCCGGGCGGCCAGCTCAGCACCAAGGAGGAGATCCTGAACTTCACACAGGACATCCCCTATTTCATGGAGGAGATCGTGAGTTTCACACAGGACATCCCCTATTTCATGGAGGAGAGCCGTGAATTTCATGGAGATCCCCTATTTTACGGAGGAGATCCATGAGTTTCACAGAGGAGATCAGTGAGTTTCACAGAGGAGATCCATGAACTTCATGGCGGAGATCCATGAATTTCACAGAGGAGATCAGTGAGTTTCACAGAGGAGATCAGTGAGTTTCATGAACGAGATCCATGAATTTCATGGAGGAGATAATGAATTTCACAGAGGAGATCCATGAACTTCATGGAGGAGATCCATGAATTTCACAGAGCACAGAGGAGATCAGTGAATTTCACAGAGGAGATCCATGAACTTCATGGAGGAGATCCATGAATTTCACAGAGAAGACCCATGAATTTCACAGAGATCAGTGAATTTCACAGAGGAGATCAGTGAATTTCACAGAGGAGATCAGTGAATTTCACAGAGGAGATCCATGAATTTCACAGAGATCCATGAGTTTCACGGAGGAGATCCCTGAGTTTCACAGAGGAGATCAGTGAATTTGATGGCCTCTGACACACGAAACCCCTCTCCCTTTTAGGCACCGCAGCCCCGGCCCCGCAGGGCCCTGCAGGTCCAGGGAGGCTGGGGCAGGCAGGGGTGGAAATAAAAGGTCATTTTCTCACTTTTGGAGGGTGGGAGGGCAGAGAGCGGCATATATTCTGTGTCAGACTCCTGGAGGAGTGAATAATGCCGTTTGTTTATCCTTCCACCGGGCAGGATTTCAATCACCACAAAATATCAGAAGGTGAGTGTGAACCACACCCTCCAGATAAACAATCCTCCTCTCCAGCAGTAAAGCAAAAAAAAATCTTAACTTTCTTTTGAGTAACAGGTTTAGGAACATGAGTGTAAAACCTTCAAGGTTCGCTGTGTTTGGAAACAAACCACCGGAGAAGCTGGAGGCTCTGGAAGTGCGTTTGGACGCCAGGGCACAGGCACAGCAAGAGCGAACAAATGGATGCGGGAGAGGCCGGGACGCAGAGACAAAGCGAATTAAGAGGCAGCAGGAGCCCGGGGAACACACAGGGGCAGCGATATGCTGATTACAGCTGCCATCTAGCGGGAAAAAACCCAGCGAGGAGAGGGTGGTGACCGTCTCTTTGTTCCTTTTGTTGCCTCCAGGGCAGGCTCAGACCTCACCCCAGCTCTGCGGACAGCTCTGAGACCAATAAAAAACATTTATTTCAAATGGTCCTTAGCTGAGGACATTTCAGAGAGACAAAGGGCACCGTGAAAACAAACTGCTGAACTGCAGGAAAGCGCAGAGAAACGGAAACTTGACGGAATTTAGGAGTAAGGACTGGAACAAAAAGCTACACCCGCAGTAACAAAACTGACCCTGCAGTCAATAAATAAAAATAATATAAATAAATAAAATTAATACAAATAAATAAAATTAATATAAATTTAAAAAATTAATGTAAATAAATAAAATTAATATAAATAAATAAGATTAATGTAAATAAATAAAATTAATAATAAATAAAAGAAAATTAATATAAATAAAAGAAAAATAAATACAAGAAAAAATAAATTAAAACAATTTTTAAAAAATAATTTAAAAAATTAAGCACTTAGTTATCCAAATAACCCACCCATACAAATAACCGGAAACGTGGAAAACCATCAACAGAAGAACAAATGGATCCTATACAGGGAAAAAAACCCCAAAGATCTTCTCTCCACTGGGCTGAAACTACTGCAAACACCAGTGTGTTCTTCCAGCTGCTGCAGGGAGGATGGCACCAGGCCTGATCCCAGGGAGCCCTGTGGTGTCCCTGCTCCCAAGAGTGACAGTCACCTCCTGCCCAAACACACCTGCCCATCTAATTTTTGCTCAGCCAGTGAAAGTGGGGCTGGTTCCCCCTCTAACCGTGCTCCTGGACTCCTGCAGCTAGAGATGGCAGCAGCTTTTACATTTATTTAGGCCAGCTCAAGTCTTGGTTGCACAACAACTCCTGTTTACCATCTGTCCAAGGTAGATTTATATCTATATATAAATATGGGTTTATATACTGAAACACTGCCCAGCTCACGGCTCTGGTCAGTGCAGGATATCTGGGAGGTGTTAAACCATCTCAACTTTAAAGCTTGTCCAGGGGACGGAGCTGGGGAAGGGGCTGGAGCCCCAGGAGCGGCTGAGGGAGCTGGGAAAGGGGCTCAGCCTGGAGAAAAGGAGGCTCAGGGGGCCCTTGTGGCTCTGCACAAGTCCCTGCCAGGAGGGGACAGCCGGGGGGGTCGGGCTGTGCTGCCAGGGAACAGGGACAGGAGGAGAGGGAACGGCCTCAGGCTGGGCCAGGGCAGGGACAGGGGGGACAGCAGCAGGAATTTCTTTACATAAAGCTCTGTCAATCCCTGTCAGAGCTGCCCAGGGCAGTGCTGGAGTCCCCATCCCTGCAGGGGTTTGGAGGCCATGTGGATGTGGCACCTGGGGACAGGGGGCAGGGTGGCCTGGGCAGAGCTGGGGAATGGCTGGGCTGGATGCCCTTGGAGGGCTGCTCCAGCCCAGCTGATTCCACTGTTACAGCTGAGACACAGATTTGTCCAGAGGCTCCCTCTGTGCTGCAGACCCCTGCAGGAGCAGCTCCCGGAGCCAAGAGCCCCCGGAGCGGGTGTCAGACGGGGGACAGAGGCCAGCCCTGCCTGGGGACACAGGGGGACAGAGGCCAGCCCTGCCTGGGGACACACAGGGACAGAGGCCAGCCCTGCCTGGGGAGCACAGGGGGACAGAGGCCAGCCCTGCCCGGGGACACACAGGGACAGAGGCCAGCCCTGCCTGGGGACACACAGGGACAGAGGCCAGCCCTGCCCGGGGAGCACAGGGCCAGAGGCCAGCCCTGCCCAGGGAGCACAGGGCTGCACGGGTCACTGCTAGTGGCAGCTGCAGGACAGAGCGCAGGCACAGCTCCTGCACCGCTGCAAGGACATCTGCCGCTGCAGGGGCTGTGCTCAGCCATCACTCTGCAAAGCCTGTGCCTGGTGTCTGCTGGCAGGCCAACACGCCTCATTAAACACAGAATAATCAACAGGAGTGGTGAGAAACCAGAGTTAACTGATCACAGCCATGTAACTGTACTGGTCATTCTCTTAAAAATAGTGCTAACAAGATTCAGGCTGTTTTCTGTCCGTCACCTGAAAGTCCAAACCCCTTTTCAAATCACCCCCACTGATTTTTGCCAGAAACAACTGTATTCTTACATCACTGAGACCAAGCAGGAAGAGAGCTGAGTGCGAGCTGTGGTGCTGAGACACCGTGCCAGCACGCAGAGCTGAGGTTTACACACCTCAGTCGTGGTGTACGCCTCCTCTGCCGTGCACTCAGCCTTCACCGTGGGGTTGCTCAGGGCGAATATGATGGGCCGCTCGTTGATGGAAGCCATGGCTTTCAGCACATCCTGGGAGAACAGGCGTCCTGCCCCAGCAACGCCTGCAGCAGGTGGAAACACACGAAACCAGCGTCAGAACCAGCGTCAGAACCAGTGTCAAAACCAGGATCAGAACCAGCATAGAACCAGCGTGAAAACCAGCGTGAAAACCAGCGTCAAAACCAGCATCAGAACCAGCATCAGAACCAGTGTCAAAACCAGTGTCAGAACCAGCATCAGAACCAGCGTGAAAACCAGCGTCAAAACCAGCGTCAGAACCAGCATCAGAACCAGTGTCAAAACCAGTGTCAAAACCAGCGTCAGAACCACCATCAAGACCAGCATCAAACCCAGCGTCAAAACCAGCATCAGAACCAGCGTCAAAACCAGCATCAGAACCAGGATCAGAATCAGCATCAGAGCCAGCATCAGAACCAGCATCAGAACCAGCATCAAAACCAGCATCAGAACCAGCATCAAAAGCAGGATGAAATCCACAGTCAAAACCAGCATCAAAACCAGCATCAGAATCAGCATCAGAACCAGCATCAGAACCCGCATCAAAACCAGCATCGAACCAGGATCAAACCCAGCATCAGAACCAGCACCAAAACCAGCATCAGAACCAGCATCAGAACTAGGATCAAATCCACCATCAAATCCACCATCAAATCCACCATCAAAACCAGCATCAAAACCAGCATCGAAATCAGGATCAAACCCAGCATCAAAACCACCACCAAAACGAGCATCAGAACCAGCATCAGAACCAGGATGGAGGCTCGGCTGCCCCAGGGCAGGGGACAGCCACCCTGCACGGAGCTGGTGCCAGCCCTCAGCCTCCCAGCCAGAGCCAAGCTGCTCCGGCAGCTGGAGATGGGAAGCGGGCACCATTTTTTCACAATTTCTTTCACAAAACCTTTCACAATTTGCACTGCAACATCTCCTGAGTGCACTCCAGAAGTTTCACGTGACCTCTTCGTATTGATGTGTACCAATGTGATACACAGCATGAATAAATTCGTGTTAAAGTTCTGATCAAATCTTCCCTGAGGAGATTATAGTGATATGCAGCAAGGCCAACATGAATATTCGTCTGCAAGGGGCATACCTCCAAGAAACCTCTGTCTGATAAGATTGTAACGATATTCACTCATAAATACTCATCTGCAAGAAGTGTATGCCCAAGAAACCAAACGAAATTACAACATATACAACCAAAACAGCATGAATATTTCTCTGCAAGCAGTGTGTTCCTAAGGACCCCCAAAAAGCCTGAAAACATATAAAAAGCACCTTGGGACAGTTGCAGTTTGTGAAGCACGGTGGGGAAGTACTGCAGTAGCCTCCTCCCTGTCTCACCCGGTGCTGTTCATCCAGCACAGCACCAAACTGATTCTTGCTTATGGCTTCCTTTTTATGATTGTAATTTGATTCTAGAATGAACTTCTTCTTTTTCACTAATCAAACTGGCTAATGGTTTGTCCAAGAACACGGTTCTGGATAAGCAGGTGGGAATCCCAGCTGGATGTTAGCTGTGCAGTGCACATCTGGCACTGGGGCTCCCGACCACACCCCAACCCACAGCTACAAACACACACTACGGAAAAAAGGAGTTCGTGCAGTGGCTACAAACCTGGGGGCCAGCAGCCAGAAAACCCCTTTCCTCTCCCAAATAAATCATGTGGAGAGGAAACTGCAGTCAGCCCAGGAAATACCTGTAATCCTATCTGTTCCCTGCAGATAAGCACAGCTGTAAATAAACACCTGCAGATGTCAGCGACCTCAGGGGTGCTGCTGGGCATCTGGCAGAGTCTGACCAGAGGTGCAGACTGGGGACAAAAGGTCAGAAAATACCCAAATAACTCGAGTCAGGGAGCTCCTGCAGGAAACACGCTGGTTGTGGCTGCTCTCTTTCACAAGGACACGAGCTTCAGAAGCAGCACCACAGCTCGGCACATTCTCAAGTGGAAAACTGACCTCGCATTTCCATCTTATTTACACCAGCAGAAATGCTGCCACCAAGCTCCCCGCAGCCCTGGTAGCAAATTAAAGGCAGCCAAAAACCAAATTATAGGAAAACAACGTGACTCACCGATGATAGCTGAAGGCCGAAGTACATTCACTGCCTCGACAAACGTCTTTGGTATGTGCTCTGGAGGCTGATGTGTGAACGGCTCCTGGTTGGAATCCACCTTCTGCTCCCGGCCCTGCAGAGAAAACAGCGGTTCCCCCCGTGAGAGGACAGGGAGGGCAGTGCTCACCTGTGCTGTGCCATTCCCTGCCTGGGGCACCCCTACCTGGACCAGCAAGCCGTGCTTGTCAAACATCCATATTCTCCTGGAGGCCTCCTCACAGGAAACACCGCTTTCCATCATGGCCATCACAATCAGGTTGGCAATTCCCAGGGCGGCCTGGCGGATGAAAGGACTCGTGAAACCTTGTAAACTTGTACAAACCTTCACAGGTTTGCAGCAGGTCATGGAAGGGGTCTGCCATCACAGCCCCACCCTGCTCAGGATCCCCACAAACACCCCTCAGCGATGCTCTAAGACACAGGAGACGTTTGCCTGGAACTGGGGAGCAGTTTCTGGGGCAGCGGTGACACGTCTGCGAGCAGCACGGGAGGGACAGCTCTGCAGGGGCAGCTCTGCAGGGATCAGGACAGGAGGTGCAGCTCTGCAGGGATCAGGACAGGAGGGACAGCTCTGCAGGGATCAGGACAGGAGGGGCAGCTCTGCAGGGACCAGCACAGGAGGGACAGCTCTGCAGGGATCAGGACAGGAGGTTCAGCTCTACAGGGATCAGGACAGGAGGGGCAGCTCTGCACGGATCAGGACAGGAGGTGCAGCTCTGCAGGGATCAGGACAGGAGGAACAGCTCTGCAGGGACAGCTCTGCAGGGAACAGCTCTGCAGGGATCAGCACAGGAGGGACAGCTCTGCAGGGATCAGCACAGGAGGTGCAGCTCTGCAGGGATCAGCACAGGAGGGACAGCTCTGCAGGGATCAGCACAGGAGGGACAGCTCTGCAGGGATCAGCACAGGAGGTGCAGCTCTGCAGGGATCAGGACAGGAGGTGCAGCTCTGCAGGGATCTGGACAGGAGGTGCAGCTCTGCAGGGATCAGGACAGGAGGTGCAGCTCTGCAGGGATCAGGACAGGAGGGACAGCTCTGCAGGGATCAGCACAGGAGGGACAGCTCTACAGGGATCAGGACAGGAAGGACAGCTCTGCAGGGATCAGCACAGGAGGGGCAGCTCTGCAGGGATCAGGATAGCAGGGACAGCTCTTCAGGGATCAGGACAGGAGGTGCAGCTCTGCAGGGAACAGCTCTGCAGGGATCAGGACAGGGACAGCTCTGCAGGGGCAGCTCTGCAGCCATCCCCGGGCAGCCCAGCCCAGCAGTGCTCACCCCTCCTGCCAGGAGCCCAGCCCCGAGCTGTGTGCCCTGTGCTCCCCACCCTGGAGCAGAGGGCAGCAGCCTGTGCCTGGCCCCGTGTCCCTCTCCCTGGCAGCAGGAATGAGGCAGAGCGGGATGCAGAGCAGGGCTCAGCACAGCCCTGGCCAATTACTGCCACCAGGGCCTTTCCCCAGATGGAGAACTTCTCAGATAATTAAGTTATTTTGTCAGCACCGCAGGAGCAATCGTGCTGATGCACCAAGAAGCGCAGCGCTGCTCTTGGCACTGCAGCACCAGTAACAGGTGCCTGCTGCAGAATGAATTACCTTGCTGGGAAAAACTCCCTGTACTCCTCTCCGGTGCTATAAAAATTAACAAGGTGGTCTCACTACATCACCATTTTATGGTGAGTTTCCCTTCAAATACACATCCCTGATGCTTTTCTCAAGGCCATACAGGAAAATGAAAAATGTGATGTTAAAATGTTAAACACAGCCCTGTTTAAGCAGAGTCCTTTCTGCCAGTGCATTTCAGCTGGCCTTACATGAAAAGTCGTGTGCTGGAATCCAGAGAAGGCAAACTGCCATGACGAGAAAATGCACGTTTTAAATATCCCTGCTGCTCTCGGGACTCACCTCTCCCGCCCCAAGGAACAGCACTTTCTGATCTGTCAGTGGTTTCCCAGTGGCTTTCTGCGCTGCCAGCAGTCCTGCCAAGGCCACCGAGGCTGTCCCTGTGGGAGCAGAGCACAGCTGAGGGCAGCTGAGCAGGCCTGCACGGCAGGCTGTGGCTCTGGGGACAGTCTGTGCACGGATGTCGGGGAACACCGACCAACGGTGTACCTTGGATGTCGTCGTTGAAGGTACAGTACTTCTCCCTGTATTTCCTCAGGAAGCGGAAAGCATTGTGGTTCCCAAAGTCCTCAAACTGGATGAGCGTGTTCTGGCCGTACCTACAGAGGATGGCAAACACCCCCATCAGAGAGAGGGAAACAGCGTGCCATCAATTATCTCTGTAAGCGGGCTGTCCGCAGGCAGAGCCCAGCAGCTCTGTCTCCGTTCCGTGCCTATTTACAGATAACGACAAGCAGCGTGTTCTAGGTCACCGAGGATGTCACCCCAGGGACAGACACACAGCTCCTGGCGCTTCCCCGGGCGGCTGCTCCAAGGACAGCGTGTTAGGGATGCCGTGTGCACTCCTGCCCTACCTGTCCGTGATGGCTTCCATGAATTCATCTATCAGGTCATCGTAGACCTGCGAGCGATCCCTCTTCTGGTACAGCCCCATGTAGAAGGGGTCCTTGAGGAGCGTCTGAAAGAGAGCACACCCGAGGCAGCGGCGGATGAGGGCCCTGCCCGGCACACGCAGCTGACAGCAGCACGTCTGCCAGATGCTGCGCCCACACGGCCCAGCCTCCAGCCTCCAGCCTGCAATCCTCTTGCCTTTCAGCTGGCACCTGGGGCTGCTGATGGAACAAATCAATACTCTGAACAATAAACGCCTCCAATAAACCTAATTCACATCCCCAGCTTCTTCAGAGGCAGGTCAGAACTGACTGCCCACTTTGCAGCGCCCCAGCATTCCAATTACTTCCAGATGCAACCCTTTCACGGAGAAATTAATGGGCACTTTTAAATCAGCACACAGTGAACTCCAAACCACTTAGCCTCTGCATGAAACATTCAGGTTTATCTTAAATGAAAGTGCCCAGAAAAGAAATGACTCAGTCAGAGTATGGGATGTTTTTTAAAAAAAGCAGTTTCCATAGGGGTGACTCACTGGGTTATCAGTCCCAACGTCGATGCACACAGGCAGGCATTTATCTGGGTGTATCCCCGCACAGGCTGTGTACAAACACAGCTTTCCCACTGGGATTCCCATCCCGTACACACCCAGGTCTCCAAGACCCAATATTCTTTCTCCATCGGTGACAACGACAGCCTGATGAAAAAAAATAAAATTAAAAAAAAAAAAAAAAAAAAAGCAGGTCAAATCACAATCACTGAAATTTATAAAGATTAGTTTTGCACGGTCAAATGAAGAACAGATCACGAGGAATATTTTCCTTAACCTATAAACCCCATATTTAGGATAAAACACTGATCTTCAAGATATACATCACCTTAATTATTTGCATTCTGCCACCACCACTAAAGAGCCAAGAATGCATTACTTAATATTTATGTTTCCATCAAATAACCAGTAAATCTTCAAAAACCCAGCTGAGATGGAATAACAAGCAGAACCTAAGTCACACAGTGACAGTACCTTAACGTCGTTCTCTGGCCAGTTGTTCACAATTGACCTGATGTGGCCTCTGTCTGAGATGGAAATAAATAATCCTCTGAAAGATAAAAAAAAAAGAAAAAAAAAAACAAACAACACAAGCCAGAAACGTTTTGTGGGCGACAATTAGAAATTTCATCTTGCAAAACTGAATGTCCAACAGGACAATTTAAAATTCAGAGTTTTACAGCCACTGACACAAATCCCTCACAGGACAATACCTGTTCCTGCCCGGGGCAGGAACCCACCTGGAGCCACCCCTCTCGGACAGGGAGTGAGGGTTTTGTCCAGAGATTTCTTTTTCCACGCTCCCTATGTATGGACACAGATCCTCAGACCCACAGAAGGGGCTCGGGGAGTTGGGGAATCCCCCTGGAATCACAGAGCTGTCTGGCACCTGGGAAGAGCTGGGAACGGGGCTGAGGGCTGCACTTGGGGTGCTTAGTTACCCACTCCCCGTGTCTGCTTCCAAATGTTTTGTTTCTCAATATAAAAACTGCACCCTGAGATCTATTTTAGCAAACTGCTGTGGCTGGAGGACACGAAATATTGGACACAGGTGCGAGTTAAACACTACACACAGCTGGTTTTCATGTGGCTGGAATCAGCCTTTAATCTGGGGTTTTTCAACCCTTACATGGCTTTTCCAACCAGGTTACCCTGATGAAGGAACTACGTCCCCTTTGGTGGGACCAGAGAAAACACATCAGCGACATCTGCTCGTTTTGTTTTGGGAAATATTATCTCTTTACAATAACACAACTCCTGAGAGAAACCGCTCCCAGGAACTGCTCCCTGGGAACAGATGAGCCCCTGACAGGCTGGAATTTCTCTCAAATGAAACGCTGCCCACAAACTCCCGCTTGCCCCGACTGGGCACGCGCCCGGTGCGGCTGAACCCGAACGAGAACGGAACGAGGCACTTGCAAAGGCGAGGTGAAGGCGGAGGAAATGGCCAGGCACGGCGACTCCTGTCCTTACTTGGGCCTCCTGAAGATGTGTCCGTACTGGGAGCAGGCCAGGCCCACCGTCGGGGTGTACACGATGGGCATCAGGCGCTCGATGTCGTCCTGCAGCACCCGGTAGAACAGCTTCTCGTTCCTCTCCTGGATGCCCATGATGTAGATGTACCTGTGGCGGATGGGCAGGAGGGGAAACAGCCCTGAGCGCCTCCTGCTCCCCTCGGGACAGGCTCCCGGGGGAAAGGGGAGTGGGACAACAGCCAGCAGCACACCACAGCCTGTGGTTAAAGACAGCCCGCGGGATTACTGCAGCAGGGAGCCTCGTTACTGCCACAAACACAATTAGAGCTGCTATAAATGCATATCATGTTATTGGCTTTTCGCAAGTATTGTGATATTATATGTATAATGTATAATGTATATATGTATTATACATGGATATGTATGTATTATATGTAAAATGTATGTGTAATGTTATATGTATAAGATTAGAAAATTTAGCTGCGATTATATAGTCTTCTTTATTTCTGTTATTAATGAAACTTAGAAATAGTGGTATAATACATGTATGTTAAGCTATGGCATAGCATTAAAACAAAAACTACTTTTGTTTGTGTAATCCAAAGACTAAAAAAGATAGCTGGAGACTTTTTTTTTCTTTTGTAAACTATCTTATCCAGATGAAGCCAGCAGTGACCAGAACTCTGGTGGGGGAGGAATTTATTGCATTTCTGGTATCAGGGAATGTAAATGTCGATGGCACCAAGAGGATTGATCTATTGGGAAGGGGGCAAGAGAAAACTAAACAGAAGAACACCAAAGATCCTAAGAAGAATGTATGAATATGTATGAGAATTTATGGATAAATTCTGGTTTTAGGGTTCTGTTTTTAAGGGATAATCCTTTGTTAGTAGGGTGTGCTCTCTTGGCTGAATGCAGAGACACCCGGCCCTATCTGTATAGTTTATTTTTTTCTCCTAATTGTTTTTTTTAATTAAATTTTTAAATTCTATAAAAATTATGCGCACCTCGTTTTTCACAGAGCCAAAGAATCTCTCGTCCAAAAAACGTGCCTTGTGAGTCCCGACGCCAACACACACAGGGCAGCTCTGCCAGAAAGTTCATGCTGAAGGACTCGGGTGGGTGTGTGAATTAAATCTGAATTTCTGCTAATTTACCCCCCAATTTACTGCGCATCAACCCATGTCCAGTCCTGCTGACCCGAGGACATAAAGATAATGAATTAGCAATTTGCCTCGGGCTACAGCAGCCGGGCACGCGGCCAGTACAGATGGCAGGACCGCTTTGGGCCGGCAAGTGACGTGACGTGGATTGAAGAGCCAATCTTTCAGCTCTGATGAGAACAAAAGAGCTTTGATGTGGTCCAGCGAGCCCCAAACCACCCCGGCTCTCCTCTTGCCTGTGTATTTTTACAGGCGGAGATAAATAAAGATGACGTGAAAGCGGCAACGGGATGCTAAAAACACGGCACGCTAAAATAACAGACGGCAAAATCCTTTGCGGTTCGCCAAACCAGTGGGTGAAGTAATGAAAGATGTAAAAAAAAAAAAAATACACATGATGGGACTTAAAATTCTGCTCTGGCAGCTCCTTTTGAGCAGTAACCACTGCACATGTCAAACACGGGTTTTGGTATCTCAAACGCTCAATTTACTTTCATTATCAGACATTTTTACAGAATGGGCCGAGTGCCACCTGCTGTGCTGCAGCAACCTGCCACTCCCTCTTACAGATCACAGAAATACCTATGCCAGGTTAAAGGCAGGTTTGCAGCTTTGTTACTCATTTTCACACATTCTCTTTTGCTGTTTTATGACATAAAATGGAGTATTGAGGGGGAAAAAAAAAACCCCAAATTAAACTTCCCAGCCTCATTTAACCACAGGATGAAAGCAGTTTTCTGTGCCAAAATAACGCCCAGGAACTGGAAAAACCCAGCGGAGGCACCAGAGGATTTGGCTATCCCACTGCAGCATTCCCACATTTCCACCTCGTGCCCAGCCCCAACATTCCCCTTCACCCCAGGAGAAGGCCGGAGCAGCGCTTACTTTTCCAAGGGGTCAGTCATTTTTGCCAGATTCTTGTGGAAGCGCAAGGCTTGGATGTCTTGTGTCTCTATTTTGGGAGGTAGGAGTCCCTGCAGCCCAAGCATCTGTCGCTCGTGTAGGGTGAAGGCCATGCCCTGAAAAACGAGAGGTGAGCAGCAGTTACCGATTCCCGCTCCAGGAATTTTTCCCTTTTCTAGGAAAGCGCTCCGCTTCTTCGCCCTTTTCTGGCCGCAGGGTTGGGGTGTGTTTGCCTCCGCCGGGGTTTTGTGGCTACCCCTTCGGGCCACAGCTTGCCCACGGCCCCGAGCCCTCGTGGCCAGGTTTGGTTCCGCTGCAAACGGATTAAAAGTGAAATAACAGCTGCTGTTGAACTGTTTCACCAGGCCGGCCCCTGCAGCCACAGACAGCAGCATCCAGCCAAAATTCTCATCTGAATCGCTCCCTGTGCTGCTCTTTTCTGCACACACACACAGCAGCACACACAAGCTGCCCCAAACGCTCCCACTAAGATCTCAGCTCAGCCCAAATACTTCCTTTTCACTCCTCACATCTGCATTTTGGGATAGACCCAACCTGTTTATCTGCTCCCAAAGAGCAGCAGTGGTGGCAAACTGGAAGAGTTCAGCTGCAACATCTGCCCGTTCTTCTCCGTTTGGGAGATGGAGGATGAAAAGTTTAAGTTTATTGTTATTTAAATGCTAATTTGAACCCTTTCTCACTTTCCAGACTCTCACTGACAAGTTATAAAAAAAAAAAAAAAAAATTTAAAAACCTTTCTAAAGTTTGCTTTATGCCTTGTAATTACAGTTCAAATTCCTCCAGCCATCAGAAAGGTCAGAGAATCAGAATATCCAGAATATCCTGGAAGGTCAGGATAGGAAGGAACAGGAAGGATCATCCAGGTTCAACTCCTCAGCTGACAAGAAAAAAAAAAATCACAATTCCACTTGACAATAAAGGCATAAATTCAGATCAGAATGCAAATTATTTTCACCTCTCTTGATGTGAGAACAGACTCTTCACAGGTATTTGTAGAACTACACCCATACACAAAAATTTCTAGAAAACCCTAGTTGTAGTGTAATTAATCACACCTGAACGGTTTCTAAACAATACTTCTTAGAGAAAAAAAATCCCACCATTAAAATAATTACAATTTTTACATGATTTTTCTCTTTCCTATTTAATACCAGTTGTTTTGACGACATTGACTAAAGCAGCCCACCTGCTTTTCTGTACTGATTCTACACTGTGCTCTACAGTAATAAAATATTTGAAAAGTTAGAAAGCAAAGGAAAAAAAAAACCAACCCCAAAAAACTTCAGTGTTTTGCTTTCTTGCAGAAAACTCCATGTGTTTAACCCTAAAATAAATTTGTTTTTCTCTGTATTTATTTCCACGTCTGCCAACCCTTTGTGTAACAGATCTGACACTAAATGCTGGTTTCAATTTAACCTTTTAGGACAGTAGAGTTTTTCTACAAGGAGTCAGGTTTGCAAACCACTGTCTTCTTTCCCACTCTAATTGCTACTCTCCAGTATTCTTCCAACAGTAAATACAAATAAACTTAAGATGACAGTTCATTATTCAAGTTTTTAACCTTGCTGCTGGTTTTTGGGGGGGTTGATTTTAATTTTTTATTTTTTTTTGCTGGGGTGTACCAGTCCCTTTGGCCACCTTAGTGGTATTTTTTTCAAAAAACTGATCTGGATAATCCAACATTTCCACGAAGAGCACAACCACGTGAACAGCACTGACACCAGAGAAAAACCCAGGGAAACATGCCCAGGGTGCCACAGGGTGTGTTTCTGTGTGTTGCAAAGCCTGAGCCCCGCTTGTGCGTACTTCACAATATATAATATAATAATAATAATATAATAATAATATAATAATATAACAAAATATGAATTCTCTGCCAGCCAAAATGCATCCCCCACACACAACCCTCTCAGCTCCCTTCCCTTTCCCTCCACAGCCCCCCAGCTCGCTGCCATGAGTGTTTGATAACTTTTAAATGCTAAATTTAAATTCTGAACAAATTTCGAATTTTAAATTTAAATTAAACTTTAAATTCCACCTTTTAAAAGCAGCCCTTTCTTGCAGCACAGACTTAGGCCTGGAGGCCGAGCACAGCTGGCAAACATTTGTGGCGTGTTACTTTAGGCAGCACAGAAACAAAAACGATGCCAAAACGTTTACAGCGTTTAGAGGAAGAAGAAGGAGGAGGAGGAGAAAAGAAGTTTATTCTCTGGTCAGCAGGGCTGCTGGAGTTCAGTGGAAAGCCAGGCTCCCCTCACTGATATTTTACTGTAAACCAAGGGAAATCCTTCCCTGCCAAAACCTCCTGCCTGCCCTCCAGAAATCCTCAAGTCCTGTAAAAATCTTGTGATTATCACTGTTAGTGTGGCACAGGAACATGGCTTTTCCCAGCTCCCCTGCAGGGTGGAACCTGTGCCCTTAAACCACCTGGACACGCCCCAGTAACACCCAGCAGCCCTGAGCCTGTTCCAAGCAGAACATTCTGCATCAATCTTTATTCTGTTTATTCGCATTCTTTCCTGTTTGTAGGCAACCTGGGCGCTCGCTGGAGCTACAGTAACATCCAACAGGGTGAATTTTTAAGTGACACTAAGTACTTTCAGCTGTTGATTTACATGACAATTACATCTTAGCGTATCCAAAGAGCTTTCATTTCTGCTTAGGCCTAAATCAGGAATCAGAAAGGCATCAGTCTTCACACAGAAATCCAGTCCTTTATTCTGGCTGGAACAGAACAAGCTCAGTCCAGAGCAGTGAGATAAAAACGCCTGAGCCCTTCTAGCACTTGCTGTACCTCTGTCCATGAGCGTGAGCTTGTTTTGGGGTTTGGGTTTAGATGTGGATTTGGGACTGCCTGCCCAGTATCCCCTGGGATGGAGCTGTCAGAACCCCAGCACCCTTCCAGCACATCGGGAGCCACCCAAGGGTCCCCCCAGCCTTAATCCCCGGGATTAAGGGCTGGAGCACTCTTGCAGTCTGGGTTCAAGCAGCAGGGATCCCTTCCTGCGGCTCTGAGCGCTGACTTTCACTCCCATTAGCGGCCTTAATCCTCCTGGGATATCCAGCACGGATAAAGCATCCCGGAGGAACACCCCACAGGCTCATTAATTAACGCTCAAAGGACAAATCCACCGCGACAAAACCCCTGTTCTGCTGGGAGGGCGAACGCAGAACGCCACCGGGGCAAAACGTTGGCCGTGTTTCAGTTAAGCTCACACTGAACCACCGTGAACTTTAATCCACAAACTCTGGCAGTGGGACCCCGCAGCACAAAGCCAGTGCTGCTATAAATACAGACAAATTCTCGCTGCGTGCTCTGCGTGCAGCAGCCCGGATGCTGCAGGCTGGATTTTTATAGCGCCGCTGAGCGAGTAGTTCTGAGAGGTTTCCACACGGAGAACAGGTACTGGTGGTGAGTCCTCCCCGCCTGCAGTCTCTATAAAAAGGAGAGTACTTTTAACCAACCATAAATGTCCTCATATGCAGCAAAAACCCCATCCAGGGCTCCTGATAAAGATGTACATATGGTTTATAACCAAGCATGCCACTGCTTAGAAAACTAGTTACTCTACTTCACCAAAGATTTGGTTTCCTTGTTAGTCCTAGGAATTGTTGGAACAGATTCAGCAGTGTAGCAGCACAGCCTTTGAAGCAGCATCATAAACAACTTGAAAATAAAATAGGTTTTATGCTGGATTGTGGGCTGCTTCTCTTGACTTTGCTCCCTTGGGCTAAACACAAAGTTCACTATTGCACAAGATGCCTCCACTGCAAATTAATAAAGTTCATTCATAAGAATCAAAGGTATCTTTGCTATCTCTACCAGAGATTAAAAGCTTATATAAGAACGGGGTCAGAACACGAAATTCTCTCCTGATTTCTTTTGTGCTTCGTTTTCAAGCCCAACTCTGTACCTTTATCCTGGCAGAAGCAGCACAACCTGTACCCTGGCAGGTATCCTGGCTGTGTCCTGGCTGACACAGCAGCGCCCTGTGACACAACCTGCATCTCCATCAGATCTCCGAGCACCTCCAGCTCCAGGAGCCCCTCGGGGGCAGCCAGGTGTGAACCTGGCTGTGACCCACAGCTGTGCCCTCTGCTACCCATGTGGATGCAGCTGGAGGCACTCCCTGCAGGAAAGGGGAAGAGGCAGGAGCAGAAAGCCCTCGCTCCCAGCCTCTCCTGGGTATGTTTTCCACGGTTAGGCCGAGCTGCGTGCTGCAGATCACGAGGGTGATAATTGAAATGGCATCCCTCAAGGCCCCGGGGACATCTCTGCAAACTGCTCTTTTTCCAGCTGAGCAGATGTGGCTGCCCCTGCTCTCCTTTCAGGGCATTGATCCCACAATAAAACCCCAAGGCAGCGCCCTTGCCTCCTCCCGCCACCCCCAGCCCCCGGGTGCCCAGCAGAACACCTGGCCCAAGGTAAATGAGGTTTGGGACCCTCCTGCCATCCCCCAGCCCCCGGGTGCCCAGCTGAACACCTGGCCCAAGGTAAATGAGGTTTGGGACCCTCCCGCCACCCCCCAGCCCCCGGGTGCCCAGCAGAACACCTGGCCCAAGGTAAATGAGGTTTGGGACCCTCCTGCCATCCCCCAGCCCCCGGGTGCCCAGCAGAACACCTGGCCCAAGGTAAATGAGGTTTGGGACCCTCCCAGCACCTTGGGCAGCTGGTTACACACCAAACAGCTCCAGGTTCCCACGTGCAGCAATCCCTTTGGAGAGCTGTAAAACCTGCGGGACCAAACTGTGCCGGGGAACCCCTGGGTGCCCAGAGCAGCCGGGCAGGACACGGCACCGCGGGGGAATCCCGGGCTGTGTGCACGGCTCCTGTCGCTTCCTGACCACAAACCGATCACAACCTTTCCAGCACTGCTCCTCTCAGCACCTGCATTCCCTCCCCACAGCCTGTCTGTCCTGCTTTCCCCAGCAAGGCACCGCCTGTCCCATGCCCTGGCTGCTCAACCCACCTGAATCTAAAACGTTTTAAAATAAATTAAATGTTTCAAAACCAGCATGGTGAGAAAGGGAAGGGAGCATCTGCTTTTACATCTTCAAGGTCATACAATTTTTTCTTTACATTCTCCCGTCCTATCCCTTTTATTTTGTTCAAGTAGTTTTTACTTTGGTTAGGGATTTTTTTTTCTGTTTATTTTTTCATTCTGAATCGGAAATGTACTGTTAGGGTATTTCCCACAAGTCAGTGAGGTCATGCACAAGCCTGCTAAGAAAATTGCCTCTTTACATAAATGCAAATTTATCACAGTTTGTGAAAGGCGCACATGAAAATAAATTGGGGTGAAAAAGCTGTGAATTAACACAGATGAAACTGTGAGCAAAATGTAACATTTGAGAAGATGACCACCTGTGTGAAAGACAGGACACTGGTAAAACTCCTCAGGATCAGGGTGGGATTATTAACCAGTGAATGTTTCTTTAACATTTATCACACATTTCCGTGCACACACCTATTGCTGTTTCCAGGCACATACATACACACAAATATGTGCATGTATAAACCATGGGATTTCACGCTGAACCAAAAATCTGAGAGGCACTGTCAGTGCAGGGGGAGTTTGTGGACACCAGGAGGAATTTCCCCACGGGTTTAGGATGGCCAGGATTTGGAAGGTGTGGAGTGCCCATCCCTGGAGGTGTCCGAGGAAGGCCTGAGTGGCACTCTGGGGACAAGGTGAGGATCGGGTGACAGGCTGGACTGGGCAGTCTGGGAGGGCTTTTCCAGCCCCGGTGTTCCTGGGATTGCGTGATAAGCTAACAGAGGAACAGAGTCACTGCTCCTGGGCTAACGGAACCCACCGTACAAAACACAACCACACACCTCTTCACTACGAGAACCAACATCACCACCTAAAGTGCACCGGGAAGTGTCACCAGTTACTCAGCCACAGAAAGAGAACACACAGGTGTTCAGCTACAGGTACTGCCGGTGGGGACAGGGACACTGATGGCACTCCACGGGGCAGAACAGACACCAGCAGAGCTGCTGCAGGAGACAGCTAAGGGTGGGCAAGAAAAGAAAACAAAACTGTCAGGGAAAAACCTACTCCAGCAGATTGGTTTGCACAAGGGTGAGGGCCGGTTCCTGCCCCTGATGCTGTCCTTCTGCAGCTCTTGTTTTAGGGACACGTGCCTTAGGGGAGACCAAATGTTCTGCAGAGTTGATAGAGGATGTGAAAATTATATGTAATCAAGTAAAACACGATAATCTCAACAAGCTGACAGCAAGAGATAACACCCTTTATCTGTTTCTGTACATAGATAATATATATACACACGAGTGGGGCAGCAGGGGTAAAGTACTCGGTGTGTTTAATAAATCATTGATGTCCCTGCTGAATATCCGAAATGCACTTCCACACAGATACTGCATCCAGCAGTGTCAGTGAGCTCGCTGATCCAACAGGCGTCAGCAGGAAGGACAGGCTGATACAGCACAGACAAACTAATGCACAATGGGGCTCCCTCTCACAACTCTAACTTCTTGGAGGCATTAAAAAATTCAAAAAATCAATTGCCATTAACCAGAAGCTCCCTATTCCCTTCTACTCCTCAAGAAAGAAACTGCTTTGGGCTCAGGCCAGCAGAGAACTCCAGGGTTAAAACAAAAGAAAAATGGAAGGATATTACCACTAGAAAAACAGTAAGAAATGGCCTATTGTTCTCGTTTCTGAATACTGTTGCATAATCAGCATTTGGAAAAGCTTACAGGGGTTGAAGTAATTTCCACTGGCGTGTCAAAGTCTTTAGAGCTCTCAGAAAGTCTCGAGATAATCTGATCTTGACAAATCACATCAATTTACTCTTTTCTCCTTCCCTGGCACAGCAATCTCAATTCAGTTTCAGTTTTGCAGCCAGCCAATCTCCCTTCCACAGCTCTCTCTCTCTTTAGGCAGCCTGGATTCATGCAGGACTGAGGCATCTCACACTCTGCTGTCCAGGGAGGAAAGGGAAGGGGAAAAGAACCCAGCTCCACCGCTCAGGAAATGCCCTGTCACACACAGGTAGATTTGCCACCTTTCTCGACCACTTTCAGACATGCCCTCAACTGATTTCTTACCAGTTTTAATTTACACATTCATGGCTTAGAGATGCCTGATGGCCACTACAACTCCAGCAGGGGAAAACAAAAAAAGAAGAGGTTGAGGATGGGCTTGTGGAAACTGGAAGAGTTTTGTGAAGGGAACAAAGTGTTACTTTTGTGTAAGTCTGCTACAATGCATGGAATTAACATGATATCTCTACCTCCCAGTTAGCTCCCATGGAGGTTTATTTTTAGATGCTCTTTCGGGCTCTGCACAGTGATGTTTCTTAGGTGATGTGACTCAGTCCCAATTCTCAGTAAAGGGCCGGGGCTAGGACAGAGAGGCTAACGCTTTCTGTGTCCAGCAGAATTCAGAACCAACTTTTGCAAAGCCTGAGCTCAACCCCTCCTTCTCTCTGCCCCGCAGGCAGTCAGCCAGGCAGTGCCAGCAGCCCCTGCGGAGCGCAGGAGAGTGCTGGCAGTGGGGACAGCAGCCAGGGGACACAGCAGTGGGACACAGGAGCCCTGCAGGTGCCCCCACAGTAACCTGGAGCTGCTCCCTGCCTCCACCACCCGTGCTGGCAGTGGGGACAGCAGCCAGGGGACACGGCAGTGGGACACGGGAGCCCTGCAGGTGCCCCCACAGTAACCTGGAGCTGCTCCCTGCCTCCACCACCCGTGCTGGCAGTGTCCCAGGCCTGCAGGCGGCTCTGCCCCAGGACAAGGTCCGCTGGACTGCGGGCAGGTGCAGATAAGACGGGCGGCAAGGACACGGCACCCACCTTGTTTGTGCGCGGGTTCAGCATGAGCGGCTTGCCCTTCTCCTTGGTGTGCAGGCCGTGCCGCGCCAGGGCGCAGGGCACCACGGCCGCGCGCAGTCGGGACAGCATCCTGCCTTCCTCCGCAGCACCTGCAAGGCAAAGGCGACACTCAGACACCCCGCAGAGCCCACAGCCCTACCTGCAGGCTGACACAGACCGGTACCTGCAGCCTGACACCCCGAAAAGGAACATCCCGAAGATGCGTTGTGGCAGCCAGGAGGGGGAAGAAGAAGGGAGGGTTTGGAATGCTGAGAGTGCAGACTGCAGGGAACACGGAGGGACCCTGATGGGAGCTGGCAGGACGTGTGGGCAGCCAGCTCTCCCTCGGTGTTGCCTTACAGCACCACGGCAGAGCAGAAATGCCAGCAGCAATTTTAACTGAACGTGGTGACACGTGAACCGGCGCCGGCGCAAATGCCGGCCAGCACAGCTCCACCTGGGCAGGTGCACCCACAGAATCCTCACTGAGATCCTCCGCAGCTTTGTGACAATGAAATCTCCTGGCCTGGACAGCATGGCACAGAAACCGTGTCTGTCAGCTTGTTAAAACTGTGCTACAACAAAACGAGGCACTAGAATGGACAAAAAACTCCACTGAACTGTGGATTCCAGGCTTAGATTTTTACAGTTCCAAACTTCAAAAATAGATAGGTTGTTTTCAGAGAGAATATATCCTGTAAGGTAAAGGATGCTTCCCTAAAAGAATTTAAAAATTGTTAATATAACTCAGGTCCTAATCCTGACAGGTGTTGGCAACTCCTGCCCTCGTTTTGCTCCGTTCCTGATCACAAGCTCTTTGGAGAATTATTTGTGTAAGAATTTGTATAAGAATCACAGGCTTGTCTAAGGCAGGAGCAGCAGGGAACGTGCAGAGGATCCATCTTCCAGGGACTATTTCACCGAGACAGAGAGCCAAGGAGAAGCACAGGGACACGGGAGAGAGGACCCATCACCCCACAGCCCCCATACACATCCACAGCCCAAACAGGCAGGGACAGTAAAGCAGGGCATGAGACATTCTTAAGGAATGAAATGATGCACGGCTCGGATTTTTAATTTCTTCCAGATGGGAGACAAAATCGAATTAAGGAACAAAACTTCATTATCTTAAATATTGCCTGAATATTTTAGAAGACTTTTCTGTAATCAAATTTGCACATAATCAACTTTTAAGATGGCAGACTGGTCTTACAAGTTACAATCCAAGGATTTTCTCGGAAATCTTTCCAAGCTTTAAAATACTATGCAAACATTTTACTATTTTTCATCGTCAGTTACGCCTGAGTTTCTCCTCTACCCACTATGAAGCGTAGAGGGAAGCTGCAGAAGCATCCCTATCTCCCAACCCTTGTTTGTTTAGGCCTGTGAATGACAGAAGTTCCACTCAGAACCGCTGTGTTTATTTGCTTTGGGGTAAAGACTGTGAATTTGCAGCGTGGAGTGGGGCAGGAGGCCTGGCAGAGCGCTGCCTCTGACCTGCTCCTTCCTCCCCAAACCTGCCAGCGGAGCAGCGAGCACAGCTGGTCTGCCACAGGCTGGAAATCAGACAAGGGAAATCAACTGTGCGCTGCAAAACACATTAATTTTGGGCTGCCTTCAGGATCAGCAGGTTCGGATTTAACTGGTTTTAGTTCTGATTGCCCATTTGCCATCCCCACACGCTTGCAGCTCCATCAAAAATGGTCTGTGGGTCCGGTGCCACAGCAAACCCCATCCCACAGCCCCATCAGCCTGGTGCCACCAGGGCTCCCACCTGTCACCAGCCTCAAACACAGAATTAAACCCAAACTCCTTAATACCTCAAACACATAATTTAAAAGTAGGACAAACACCACACCTTACCTACCCCTCTCTAATTAACTTTAAATTACTTTGTTGCAATTAATGAGCATTTAAGAAGTGAACAAGATTGTGGCCCAGATTCACCCTAACTTGATCAATTAACTCTAATCAACCCAGCAGAGGGGAAAGACTTTCCAGAGGAGTGACACAAATCTTGCTTTCTTCTCTGATGTGTGAGAGAGGAGACTTGCTCGTCTCCAAAGTCTCACACCAGCACCTAAATTGTTCTCTTGATGGAGGTTATCTCAGATTCATTAAGGGGCAGAATCAGGTTTCATTTTCCACTGAGCCCTCTGTTGAGATCCGAGAGATATGATCCCAGTTGATTTATATCCAGCACAAAACCTGACTGGTCACCCTGAGCTCTCCCTCCCCTGCTCTTGTAATTGTTCTCTGTTTCTGTTTCCTCTCCCATCCTGCACATCTCCTCCTTCTGTCACAGACTTTTGAATGTGGTTTGGCAAGAGCTTGCCTCCAGAAGCCACTGTGACACGCCCAACCCTGACCCCACAAAGCAGGAAATCCTTCCCCATGCCTGTGCCTACTGCTCTGCAGGGCTGCCAGCAGCTCTGCCCGTGTGGCCACGGCCCTCTATCACCCACCCCAGCCCTGCTGCTGGCCACCAGCCTTGTCTCCTGGGCTTCTGGGGGAGGACAAAGGGACAGAAGGCTCAGGCTCCTCGGCTCACATGTGCTGGAGAGCCCTTGTTTCTGGGAAGCTGCAGGAGAGGCCCCCAAACCAGCAGCTGCTCTCAGGATGGAAGGGCTGGATCGTGCTGCTGCCTGGGGAGGCTCGAATGATGGGTTTGTAGGAGAGAGGCCAGGCTTCAGAGGGTGGTAGTCTAACCATAAAAAAGGGAGACAGAATTTTGACATTAGAGGCTGACAGAGAATTCCCATGGTTTGGGCGGGAAGGGAACTCAGAGTCACTCCAGTCCCACCCCAGCCATGGCAGGGCCACCTTCCAGTGTCGCAGGCTGCTGCAAGCCCTGTCCAGCCTGGCCTTGGGCACTGCAGGGATGCAGGGGCAGCCCCAGCTGCTCTGGGCACCCTGTGCCAGGGCCTGCCCACCCTCCCAGCCAGCAATTCCTTGCCAATATCCCAGCTGGGCCTGCCCTCTGGCACTGGCAAGCCATTGCCTGGGTGCTGGCCCTGCAGGCCTTGTCCCCAGTCCCTGGGCAGCTCTCCTGGAGCCCCTTTAGGCCCTGCCAGGGGCTCTCAGCTCTCCCTGGAGCCTGAATACTTGTGCAGGGGAGCAGCCCCAGCTCTCCCAGGCTGCCTCCAGAGCACAGGGGCTCCAGCCCTGGCAGCAGCTGCGTGGGGAGGGGATGTGACCTGAGGGAAAGGGCAGCACTTGACACGATGTGAAAACACACAGAGAGGACGGAGATTGTGCAATGTCCCGTGGAGAGGAACTAGGAAGAAAGAAGCAGAATTGAATGAGGAATAAATTCCTGCCCAAACATGTGTCAGCATCAGCAGGGTCTCTGTTCTCCCTCCAGTGCCTGACAATGGTGAGAACCAAACAAGTCCGTGGCACACCTCTAGCCTGAGTCCAGTACCAATGGCAATTTTTGACTGGCTCTGTCACAATTTAAGGGGATTAAGTCCTTCAGCACACCAGAGGACAGCTCCCTGCTGTGCCTTATCAGGAGGCATCTGGCCGGGTCAAACTAATTACCAATATGGACAAGCACCCTTATCTGGGAGCAAATGTTCTGCTGCTCCAATTATAGATTTGTTAAATGGCAAAACCTACTTTTAAGGGAAAGGCTCATCACGCTCTTAAAAGGCAGAATTAGGCTGGTCAGAGCAGAAGATCAGAGTCAATTAAAGCAAGGCCAGCTTCAATTACTGCCCAGGCTGCCTGACCTGTGGATCTCCCCTCAGTGCCAAGGAGCGTCTGTCAGAGCACAGCAACTTGTGCTGCATGACTCTGCAGTCTGCCTTCAGTTTCAGGGGTGGGGAGACATAAATGCACTTCAAGTGCTCCTGAAATCCTGTGTCAATGATTTCTTCCAGGCTTTCCTTCGTGTACAGGAACCAGCCTGTGTCGGGGAGCCTTTTTCCCATTGACAAGCTGAAATCACTAATTCAAGGCCAGAGAGGCCCCACCGAATTTCCAAATTTTGAGGCCTCAACCATTCCTAAGCCAGCAGACTTTTTCTCCTGTGCCCCCACAGCAATCCCCGTGGTGAGCCTGCACCACCTCAGGTCTGGTGTGGACGCACCATGCGCTCAATTCTCTTTTTTTTTCACTAATAAACTGGCCCACCCAAGCATGACACAAACCAGGCACACACGAGCTGGCTTCATCACTTCTGTAATGATAACTCAGTCTAAAATTATTACATTAGGCAAGCAGCGGCTATAAGTGTGTCTCCCCAGGAGACTTCTACCCAAAGAAAGCAGCTCCCCCTGCACCCACCACCCTTCGGCAGGCCAAGGATGACTTTCATTCCAGAGCAGCAGCATCCCAGGAGCGAGGAGCAGAGGATGGAGGCTCGGCACCTCTGGCTCCCGGAGCTGACCAGATGCTCCTGCTGAGGGGAGTTAACAGCAAACTGTGGCTAAGCTATTTCAGGTTCCCTCCAGCAAAGTCCCAGGCCACCACTTTAAAGGACATTTCTAAGGCACCTTGAGATCTGCAGATTAAAAGGAACAGTCGTGGGGAGAAATTATTAATGAAGTGTTTGGCAGAGGCAGGCAGGTTATTTTGGAAGCAGAACTTTCGCATACTGGAATGGCTTTTTTCCCCTTTTATTCTGAGGCAGCCAGTTCAACAGGGAGAGAAGTTAGGTGTGGAGCACTGAAACAGAGTAAGTTCACCACTTGAGGCTGGAAACCTTCACTAAACAAAGCACACTCAGGTGAACTCAGATGAGAATGATTTCAGAACATCTTCCTAAAAAGAGTATTTGACAATTACTGTAATTTACAGTATTATCAGACTTCTTGCAGCACAAGCAGGAAGTAGGGCTGAGTTGTTTGGTACTGTAGTCCTGGTTGGTAGCAGCTCTTACCAGACAACATCAGAGAGCTGTATTTTTATACATTAACAAACCTGACCTAAATATCCTGATTCTTAAGCACCAGAAAGTCCATTATCTTTTACTCTGGAAACCGCACAGCAGTACTTTTGGCCAAGTCTGACAGGATGTATTGTCATCCTTGATTCATTTTCATTTGTGTAACTAGGAGGGCTACTGGTGGCAAAGGTAAGGACAAAAACTTTATCCTAAAACGCCTCAGAAGTAGCCCAGGAACAAGCAGAAAGGTGCCCCTGCTCTACTCTGGAGAGCTGGTACACCCCTGTGCCGGAGCTGTTCAACTCAGAAACACAGACAATTTTTGGACACGGGCTGAGAGGCGGACAGAGACGCTCCCAACAACTGCTGCTCTCACAAACGGGAGTTCTTCCTGGCAAAGCAGCTCAGCCCCGAGCACAGAGGAGCCCTACTGCTGGCAGCTCAGTGCTGGCCAGGTGAAGTGCAAGCCTGTCAACCTCCTACAAACCTACAAAATAAACATCCCACTTAAATCACAGAAAAACCTGAGAATCTATCCATGCACCACCAGCTACCGGCGCTGCTGCTGCTGCAGTGAAGGTGCTGGCACCACTCGTAAAGATGAGCATCCAGTTGGTACTCACTCAACCACGGCACGCTTTGACAGCTTCTGTCTTAGTTTGCAGGAGAAAAAGCTTCAAATCTTGCCTGTGCTCAAGCTGCTGACTCACAAGCCACCGCGCAGGATTATCAGAACTTTCCTCCTGTGACTGTAACGCGCAGCTTGTCTTAAAATACAGGCTCGGGTTAATTTTCTACAGATCTTATCGCGTCTAATAAGGCATTAGACACTGCTGGCTGCACACACATGGGCCACTTGCAGAGCTGCACATTCTGCCCAGCTCTTTCATTTGCCCCTGCCTAAATTACAGGTACACAGAAAACCTCCCTTTGATGTTCACTACTTTTTGGAATTACCAACACCAAATAATCGACATTTGGTGCTTTTGATCTTGCTTGGCTGCAAGACTGTCCTTTTTCACCAACCCTTTATCAATGTGCTGTGAGTTTGGTTTGGTTTTTTGCCCTGTTAATTATGAGATTCTTGCCATGGCACAACACCCCTGGTTGCTCAGACAACACCACTTAGTTAGTATTTTTTAGTGGAGCGTGGAGCCAGCGACGGCGGCCGCTTCTTCCAACGAGCAGCCGGGAGGCCAAACCCAAACAATAACTCTAAAGTACCGGGCGGCGCTTCCTGCTCCAAGGCCGCGCCAGCTGCTCCGCTCCTTCCCAACTTTCACTCTCCAGGGCCACGGAAGTTCACGGCAGGTCGGGCCCAGCGCGGGGGCCCGCGGCAGCAGCTGAGCCCGGCGGCTGGGCGCTGCCCTGGCCTCGGGCAGCTCCCCGCGGGCTGGCAGCTCCATTTGTCACCGTTCTGACAGGGGTAAACACGCACGGGCACAGCCGGGACNGGATGTGAGGGGATGGGTTGTGAGGGGACGGGGTCCATGAGGGGACAGGGTCCATGAGGGGATGGGGCTGTGAGGGGACAGGGCTGTGAGGGGATGGGGATGTGAGGGGATGGGTTGTGAGGGGACGGGGTCCATGAGGGGACAGGGTCCATGAGGGGATGGGGCTGTGAGGGGATGGGCTGTGAGGGGACAGGGCCCATGAGGGGATGGATCCATGAGGGGACAGGGCTGTGAGATGAGGTCCATGAGGAGCCTGGGTCCATGAGGGAACGGGGCTGTGAGTGCTGTGGGGCCCCGGGACGGTGGGGATGGTGGCTCCCCAGGAGCATCCTGCTGGGGACGAGGCTGAGGGGAAAGGCGCAGCAGGAGGAAGGAGCAGAAAGCGCTAGCAGGGGAATGGGGTCACTCCTCACACGGTTCCTTATGGCAGCTGCTCCCAGCGGCCAGGGCCACTGCGCTGGATGCCCTGCATGGAATAGGGCTCCCCCAATCATACACAGTGCTGAGGGAACCCCGGCCTGGCCTGCTGCCTCACAGAGCCTGGAGGGATGGGATGGCCTTGGACTCGGACAGAAGGCTTGGCAGAAGTCATCCAGGCAGCTGATACTCCAGGTCAGCACTGATATTGTAGAAGAAAAGAGCAAAACTGCCACTTCTCACAATAAGACTTGGCTGGTTGTCCTAACAGTGGCCTCACCTCAGTGATACTTGTGCCAGCTCAGCTCAGCACAGCGTTCAGAGAGTACAAGGGCACCAAACGCGACAGCTCAGCCCATCCCAGCTTCTATCTGCCTCCTCTCCAGCCCAAGCTCAGATATTTTCCAGTGCTGCAGATTTTGAGGCTGTAAATCGCAGAATCCTGGGATGGTTTGGGTTGGAAAGGACCTTTAAGCTCATCCATGGGCAGGGCCACCTTCCACTTTCCCAGGCTGCTGCAAGCCCTGTCCAGCCTGGCCTTGGACACTGCAGGGATGCAGGGGCAGCCCCAGCTGTGCCAGGGCCTGCCCACCCTCCCAGCCAGCAATTCCTTCCCAATATCCCAGCTGGGCCTGCCTGCTCTCTGTTAACAATAGAAATTTTTCTTTTAACAAGAACGTTTATTAAGTAAGGATTTCAATTCTCTGCCACCAGCGCTGAACACGATTTAAATAGTTTGATGTGTGAGGGAGCGCTGTGCGGTTAAAAGAAGCAGAGTCACTATAGTAACAGTATCAGATATGTAAACCTACTTAATCAAAACCCCCTCTCCTAATTATGATTTTGAGGCCTGTCATGAGGAGCATGTTCAGCTGCTTTCCCCCCCCACCCTGTCAGCATGGCCGTGGCGGCTTCAAAACGTTTCTGAATAATGCCGCTCTGCACCTATAAACAAAGGAGATTGCAAAAATAACCTGCAAGGTCGTGACTTTGTGCCAGGCTAAAAATAGCCCAGATTGGAGTCATTCAAAAACGCCTGGCCTCATACCCAAATTGCAGAAATCCCTTCTGCCGTGAACACGTGCCGCCTCAGACGGGTGGAGGATACTCCCCGGGATCACCTAATGAGCAGCTGAGGCCGTGCTGGAGCATGCTGTGCAGCACTTTGTTGTGAAAGAGCGGCTGCCCCGAAATCTGCGCCGCAATTAGTCACAGCAGAGACAAACCTGCACCCCAGGGGCCGCAATCTGGCAGGGCTGCGGGGCCCGGGGCTGCCAGCAGCGGGTTTTGTTGGAGGGAGAGCTGTCATTTCCACAGCACCCGCTGCTTCCCAGCTGGCCTGCGGTACCGGTTCTGCTCCTTCCCAAATCCGGGCCTTTTCCAAGATAGAGGTCACTGTGGGGAGGAGGCCTGGTCCGTGTTCCCAGCAGCCACGGGGGCAGCAGGGCCATGGAGTCATGCAATGATTTGGGTTGGAAAGGCCCTCACTCCATCGAGTCCAGCCGGGCCCCAGCACTGCCCAGGCCACCCTGCCCCGTGTCCCCAAGTGCCACATCCACATGGCTCTCCAGGGATGGGGACTCACCACTGCCCTGGGCAGTTCCAAGGCCTGGCCACCCTTTCCATGGGGAAATTGCTGCTGCTGTCCCCCCTGTCCCTGCCCTGGCCCAGCCTGAGGCCGTTCCCTCTCCTCCTGTCCCTGTTCCCTGGCAGCACAGCCCGACCCCCCCGGCTGTCCCCTCCTGGCAGGGACTTGTGCAGAGCCACAAGGGCCCCCTGAGCCTCCTTTGCTCCAGGCTGAGCCCCTTTCCCAGCTCCCTCAGCCGCTCCTGGGGCTCCAGACCCTTCCCCAGCTCCGTTCCCTGCCCTGGACACGCTCCAGCCCCTCGGTGTCTCTCTGTGGCTCTCTCTGCTGCTGCCTGTACCATAGAACCGGAGGAGCACTTGTTTCTCCCTCCGCAGAGCTTTTATCGCCGTATTTGGTGCTCACTCACAAGAGCTCCTTCTGGCACATGGAGTGCTGCTGCTCTGCTGTTGCCAGGAGAAGAGCCCCGGGAGCTCCTGGGCTCTGTAAATCCAGCACGGCGCTGCTGTCCCTCCTGGCTGGGCTGTGGAGCCTCCGCTCACCCACCGCAGGTGAGGATTCACCCAGAAATATTTCATGCAGCAGGTGACAATTTCGTGGTCACTCCGCATTTCCTGTGCACACAGGCCATCGTGTTCCACCGGGGTTCCTTCCCACAGGGAGCCAGGGTTGGCACTAAATTAAAACTGCATCTCCCCAAAATCAGCACTGCTTGAAGGGAGTTCTCTTACATCACACCACGATGCTTTCTCAAGTCACTTCCACCACCCTAAAACTGTGTTCTATTTCTCTTTAGAATTTTCCTAGACTTCTGGTCATCTTCTGCTAGTTTTTTGTTTCTTTGCTGAGGAGAACTTCCTTTTTTTCTCCATTTCTCTCGTGATAAACCATAGTTGTTGTAACTGCTTCATGCCTGACAAAGAACACAGAAGGCTTTTGTTTCCCATCCTTGGGATGGTTTTGACTCCCCTTTCTGTAACATTTCCAACTTTTCAAATATCTTATTTAAAGTAGCATCACCAGCACTGGATGCTGTGTTCTTGCTTTTTCTATCACCCGTCCTTAATGCAAGTAAATAAACTAGAATAATCTCTGTTCTAGCTGCCTAGATCTGTCCTTTCATTCCTCCCGTGGTGCTGCACTGCCACACCCATAGACTCACTGATATGGTGGCTGTGTGAACACAGATAATTCAGGACAAATAATTATTTAAGCAGTGATACTGGCTTTTATCTCGCTCCAGTCTCAGAAGGTTTTGCAGTACAGAGCAGCAGAACAAGCCATCCCTCAGCAGGCGGTTTCTGTGGTTTGATAAAAGCTGTCCTCCTCGCCTTCTGCTCTTTATTTCTGTTCAAAAGCAGTGCTGACCGTTCGCCCTGACACGGTCAGGCTGAGCCTGACACAGAGGCAGGGCTGACTCCTCACACTTGCACTGAAACAGGAACGAGGCAGTAGAGATGATGGCCACCCCCAGGCAAGGTTTGCAAACAAAAATAATGTCTTTTATTACACCAATTCCATAAAAGATAGCACTGCTCCACGCCAGCCTTGTCCCTCTTACTTCTTTAGAGCAACAAGATAGCTAAGTACGCTTACACCCTTTCCATTTTTTGCATTCAGTTTCTGACAGGTAATTTCACCCTGTTTTAAAGCATTTATCTGTAAAAGTTCTCTGTTGGAGTCTGAGACACAGAGTGTGTGCTCTTGTCTCTGGTGTTTAACTTTGAGACCCAGGAGAACACTGAATTTCATATAACATGAAATCTATGGGCATGTTTTCATGGTGTTGCATGGAAACAACCGTTAAAGTTAGATAGAACAGCTAAAAGTGTGAGTGTGTAGATTAGAGAGAATTTTCTTAAGTCTCTGGGTGAAAAAGTTAGTTTAGAGTTTAAGTTAGTTTAGAGAGCAGAAGGCAAGATGGAAGATTTAGTGTGTTTTCTCTTGTCCTTCTTCTTTCTTCTTCATTTTCTTCTTCTAGAGGTTTTTGGGTACTAGTAGGTGATTGGTTAGGAAATGTCACAGTGCGGCACACGGGTGAAGGGTCATTGGGTCATTAAAAAAATAATATACATTTCTTTTGCTAATTGGATAAGAATAAGTAAAAAGATTAAAAAAGCTGCACAGTTTGGGGCCATCTTGTGCCATCAGAGCCAAAGTGAGCCAAAAAAGGCAGAATGAATTGAGCTTGAGCAAAAGTCTGGAAAAGTCTGCCAAGTTTTGTGGTAACATCCTAATAAATATGAGAAAGATCCTGACAGGCTTTGGAGTTTTCTTCCTGACCTGGACAACTGAGAT